GAATACCTCACGTTGCGAATCCGTCGAAAATATAAGCCAATGATAGTGCAGAATTTTTTAAATGGTTCAATCAGAAGGCTCATACAGAGCCCCTGAATCTGCAAATCCGTCAGGCCTCCCCACAGATCCGTCGCAAATGGCCGTAACCAGGGAAATGAGCGTGTCAGCCAATCAGATAGCCGGATTTGACCCTCGAATACGTCAACTTTCATACGTAAGACCGCTGTTCGTGACTGACTAACATTACTTTGCCGAAGCTCTGCCGCAGCATGAAACGTATAACTGGACTACCGGTACGATTCAAAATTTTAGTAACTCGATCTACTGGCCACTATAGATAGCTGGAGTCAATTTTTTTTAAGTAGGCAATTTTTACTTCAGTCGCGCGACTGATTTGACGACCCCTAGATCCGCCCCTGTTTTCAAGAGTTGATTGTTGATCAATTGTCTTCGTATATTTTCCACTAACACATATTCAATTTCGCCTGACAGCATGATCTTTTTTAGTCATTGTTGATCATCTGCTTTTCAAATACCCGTAATTAAGGTCGATACACGCTTACACTGGTATGGGATATACTTGCCTAGCCAGCACAGTAACCAGCCGTTTGTCTCGTAATGATATGCACATCACGATATAATGCGCGTTAAGGTTAATATTTATCATCTCTCCCTTAATATAAAATATAAAATACATTCTGGACAAAATAGAAGATGCATAGACACATTTCAGCAATGGTTTTTTCCATATTGTTGTACACTGTTTCTAAATTAATGGAAGAAACGTTAGCAAAAATTCCGCCGGTTTCTCGCCAATTTTTAAAAACAAATTATTTGCATGCACTTTCCCAGCGATTCAACCCCTTTATCGTTTTGTATAAATATTAGACTTAATATTCGAAGAACAGTTTATTAAAATGCTCTTAAAATTCATTTTCCACCGTTCGAGAGATAATGGTGTCTAGTTAGAGGAGGCTCAACAATGTTTTAGACAACAACAACAACAACAACAAAATTCCCAGCTGTTCTTCCCTGTTGAAGTTAGTATACATGGATGCGCAGACCGTGAACACAAGCGAAAATATACACGCAACCATGTAGCGTGGCGCATGATAACAGAGTTATTTCTACTTATCTGATTAAATATGCGAGCTCAAACACAAACAAAGATTATATGCAGGGCCGTAGCTAGACCATAGATATCTTATATACACTAGATAGTGCATCTAATTATTCTGCAATTCAAAAATTGAAGCCGTGATTGCAGTCTCAGGTCGTTCCCATGAAATGAGAAGATTCGCATATTCTCTATTTCTTAAACACGGAACATAAACATGAAGTTAACCCTATGCCAAATACGTTTTTAAAGTATTCAAAGGATGAAAGTTATTGTTGTTTTTAAGCGTTTATTAGCAAGTGGGAACGACCAACATGGCCGCCATCTATTCAAATGGGGGTAACCGCTGGAATATTCTTGGCTTCAATTTTACTAAAGGAAATCCGCTATCTAGTGTATATAAGATATCTATGAGCTAGACCGATAAACCTGAAAAGAAGCTTTCTTCTCTCTTATTAATTAGCATTAATATCGCAAAAAAGATCACAATACTAAAGGGCATCCGGCACAGTAAATTCCCTGATTTTTAAGTACAGGTAGAATACCTTAATAAACAGTGACTGCTTGGGGCAATATTGTCTCACATAAAGATATATTCAGTGGCGGAAATCTTGATGAAGCGGTGGGGGCGACCCCCCCCCCCCCAGTACTTTCACGGAAAATGACGAATTTTCGGAAATTTTGATCTAAAAGAGGGATAAAAACAGCCTTTTTGACTGCAAATGGCGTGTTTGTCGAAAATTTGAAAAACTTGCCGGAAATTTAGGAGGCTTTGCCCCCCTCCCCTCCAAACGTGAATTTCCGCCACTGGATATATTCACCTCCAGAAAGCTTTCGAAACAAAAATTCCCCGCAGTATGTACATTCATGAGCAAGGCGCGAATACATATGGAAAATAAATTTGAAAACGAAAACTTCTTGTCATTTGACTGTACACAGGCCATGGCATGAACATTTGACCTCCTTGGATTATCAACGCTTCACAAAACGTTGTGGTCCTATATATCCATTTCAAAGTCTTGATGAGGGAGTTACATATCTCTGACCCAAACTCTCAACCAACCGTATCGCTGAACGTTATTCAAAATAGGAAGAATAGTTGCGTATTCAAAACTGTCGAGCACATACATGAATTAAAAAGCAAGTGAAACTGCACAGGAAATTTTGGCACGAAATTATTTGTGTTGTACTGCAATTCAACTTCAAACGGCGGGCAGAGGAACATTTTGTTTCGCGGGGATAAATCGTTATAAAATGAAATGGTAAATTTTTTCTGTTCGCAGCACTTCAAAGTTCCAAATTGTACCTGTTCATGCAGAAGACTGTTGAACGTTCCGAATTGCTTTTACCAAGATAACCTTGTTCTTGTTTATTTTGCGAAAATACTTCTTAAGAAAAATTAGGGTTTTTTTGTGACAAAATAAGCATCTGATGAACTTCTTGACCGTGTAAGTGCATTTGAATAATCAACCTGTCGAGAAAACTTGGCATGAAGAAATTACTCATTTGAACTGTTCTATAGGTTCTATATTTTTCCATAAATTGACTGTTATTTAATATTATAATACAAAATATAAGATTTCATTTCAGAATCCTACCTTCAAGTTCTTCAAAATCAAGCAAACGATACAATGATCACTCTACACTGTTTGCTTTGCGTGACACATTATTTCTCAGTTAAATTCAATTAAAATTAACGAGCCAATTATGGCAAGTATTGTGTACAGATCACTATATACATTACAGCATCTGCCGAAGTCTTTCAATGCGAATCTCATTTTAGTGTTTGGTATATCACGGTGGGTTAAAAGATGTTTTGGACTCATCGAGTAAGCAATGAGACGCATAATCTAACTTTTAATTAACATGAGGAAATGAAACAAGCGCAAAACATAAAAAAATGCATTCTTTCCAGACAAAACTTATGCATACTTTATGTCTAAATTGCTAAGAACGATTCGCTATTTAAGGTACACCAGAATATTTTAATATTATTGTAGCTATATATATTTTAGGACTGTAGGGACGAATTTGCTGATAATAATATTGTTAGTATCCCGCGGGATGGCTTTGCAAGAGAAATAGCTCCTATAATTTTATCCCCGAGCCAACGACGTGGAGCGCCGTTCAGCGCGTAAGTCGGGGGCCAGCTAAGAAACTAATCCCCCCCGGCTATTTACAGCCGGAGAAACGAAAGCATTGGCGAAGTCTAAAGTTCATCAATGACGCGGGCGAGACCAACGATCTTGAGTGGGTGGTCATCTTCACTGATCTCAAAAATATGGCTGATTGCTTGTATGGCGTTTTCCACAATATAAGCTAGATTTCGGTTTAGTAAAAGACATATATTTGGAAAAACGTTTCATATACAACAAGCTTCAAGCAATTTTGTTTGAAGAAATGAGAAGAATTGATTTTACTCTGGGAAATCGTGAAATATACGGCAAGTTTGCTTTGAATATTTACTGTTTACGAATTTTGTTGCTTTAAATTTTTGCCTAAAACATAAAATGTTTTCCTTTTTAACGTAGCTTTAAGTTTCATAAATTACCGTTTAATTTGAGAAAAAATCTTAAAATGTAAAGGAGAGCAAATTAAAAATTTAAGAATATCGTGTTGTCATGGCAACACTTTTGCGCGAGCCTGCGTTCAGTATTAGCCGTTTCTGAATACTTCGTGTTAATTTCATGTTTGGAAAATATTGGCGAGGGGTTAGTGCAAGCATGTGTTTCTAGTAGAAGAAGATATATTGTGTTTAATTTGATTAAAATGAAACTGATAAAGATGGCCCATTGCCGAGATCTCGCCTGAAACAGGCAAGATCACAGCCTACCAATTAACTGATGTCAAATATTCTTAGTTTCATTTCCTTTGCACACTCGTTTTACTTTTTCTACTCTTGCTGGCAACTATGTGTAAGTTATTTTAAAATACACCAAGTTGGTTTCCAGAGGAGAGAGGCCAAAAGTAATACGGCGCCTTTTCATCTTCGCCATGGACCAACTCGGCCTATCACGCATGCCTTCGATCGTACCTTATGGGAAGGTCTCGATATCCACGGGGCGTAGTAATTTTTGTAGTAATTTTTGAAAAAGTAAACCTGACAACAAACTTTCATCTATCTTGCTAATAAGCATTAACTACAAGTACACTAGGGACGCTTTCCATTTAATGACCTGACCGGTCAGAACCGAATTTTTGTCTCGGTATCAATAGAAAGATCTGGTCGATATTTCTCAAATATCTAGCGAAAATGGACCTCATTCTAATTTTATCTAAATTTTTAGGTCAGATAGGTCCAAAGGCCAAAGCCCACATGTTGTGTGTTTCATTCAACAGCTTGACCGTTTTAACCGGTCTGGCCGTGTCAATGGAAAACGCCCACACTATACCGAGACGGGCAGGCATAGCAAAATGTAAAATTTACCATGATACTAATATTATTACATATTTTGTAGAAATAGAGACTGGAGCAATATTGCAGCATCACAGTCGCCCACTCACGTCCAGCAAACTTGTAAAAGGAAATTCCTGATCACTTCGAGAACATATATGGAAAATTTCTCAACGAAACTTCTGAACACGACAGCCGCCATGGCATGAACAATTGGGCGTCTTGGATTTTCAAGGATTCTCAAAACAAAATTGTGGTGCTATATATAGCCTATATTTCAAACATACACTTTATCACTTTATAAGGAACAATAGATCTCTGACACTAACCCTCAAACGAACGGTCTCGCTGACCCTTTTTTTCAAAACAAGAATAATTTTGTATCCAAAACTGTTGGGTATACATGTATATATGAATTAAGTAAAGAGCAACTAAAACTGCATTGTAAAATTTTGGCACGAAATTACTTGTGGTGTACTGGACATTATATATAGGCGGCGGGCAGAGGAACAGTTTTTTCATGGGCACAAATTATTAGCTACAATTAAAACAGAATGGTTGATTTTCCTTGTTCCGGGCACATCAATGTCCTTTATAATCTTAAATGTTCAGAAAACTGTTAAACTTTCTAATTTGCATTTACCTACAGGGCAACCTAGCTTGTTCCTGTGAACAGCCTGTATAAAAGTACAAAAGGACTAGCAAAACTTGTCAGATTAACTTGATAGCAGCGCATTTGAATAATGAACCTGTCGAGAACACTTGGCATGAAGAAAGTACTTGCTTAATGTTTACTAGGTCTATCCATAAACTGACTATTATTTACTATTATATGTCACAAATATAGGATTTAATCTAAAAATCCTACCTTAAAGTTCTTCAAACACAAGCAAGTGATACATTGATCACTCTATACATTGTTTGCGTTGCGTGACACGGAATTCGAAACGCTCATTATTTCTCTTTTAACTTCAATTAAAAATAATGAGACAAGTTATGGTAAGTATTTTGTGCGGACCATTGTACATTACATGCAGCTGCCAAAATATTTAAATATACAAATCTCATTTTAGTGTTTAATGCCCCGTTGCATTATATTTAGGTGATAAATAAGACGCATACCTATAAATTTTAGTATATTATACATATTCAATAGGCCTACGAGAAAATGAAACGAACACAAATTATAACAAAAATATGCATTGTCTATTTTTTCCTTCTCAGTCAAAACTTATGCATATTTTATACCTAAATTGCTAAGCACGATTAGCCATTTAAATTAAGGTGCAAGAATATTCAAAGCGTTCTGTAGACAAACAGTTATATAGCGGGCTCAGTAATTATGTACTGAAGGCTCAACAAAACGGTTTCCTTATGTATATATATATATATATATATATATATATATATATATATATATATATATATATATATATATATATATATATATATACATAAATTAGATTATATTTATTCGTGAGTGTGTGATAGTCGAGGTGTCGAAGTGAAGATATCAATTAATAAACGAACATATTTATAAACGTTCGACACGTTCCAAAGAATTTTAAACAATTCCAATCTTCGAATTAAAATAATATATGCGGACGCCATTCTCGTCCACAGAGCCGCGTTTTCACTCGATCAATCGTTTAAAATTAGGCTCTGGGTTAGACGTCTAGAGGGAGAGATCTGATTGACTTCTCTGAGAACTGCTATTTCCCAGAAGTTGAGCAGTTTTTGCCAAGCCAAGTTATTGTATCAAAATATATATGCCAACACAAATACTTCGTTTCTTCGTAATGCTTCTCTGTGAAAATTGTTACGGGTGCTAAAGCGTCCCAGTTCAAGAGTATGCGATTTAGGAGCTACTGCAAGTTTTCTTTCACTTCTGGTTCCGTGTATCCCAGGGCCTATGCAAGTCGCGCCTTCCTTCCACGCAATATATACGCGCCAGACTAGTCCCTAGTCCTCCGAATACGCCTTTGATTTCCATGGCGTCACCGTATTTGAAGGCAAAATCTGGCTTCAGGCAAGATTAGGCAGGTTTCAGTTAATTAAGGTCGATCATCTGTGACCGGTTGTATAAAAAAGTTATTAAAGTTAATTATAGTTAAGTGCAAACGTCATCCAATAAGAAGCGCCTATTTGAGAATTAATCACTATTTAACTACAGAATAGTGATTAAAAAAGTGATTAAGAGTTTCATACAACCGGCCCCTGCGTTCTATGGAGCCAAAATATCCGTGCAAATTGAAGTATTAAAGTCTAACAACCTTACGGCATTTTTATAAACACGCACGAATATAAGGAATATTGCAGAGAAGCATTTTATATTTTATAGAAGTATATTGTATAGCTTCATAAAATAATCTCTATCAGTCAAAAGGATTCTGTTTTTATGTTCAAAATTCCATATTCAGATTCTGTATTCAACAATTTGTGAATATTGGAATTGCAGATACAACATCTATATTTAAATGAAAGGAAGAAACAGAATTCGAAAGACCTTCCCAACAAAGGCAGGCGACTTTTGCGAATAGTCTTTGGCCATACCATTGACTTACTTGCCAGTATGGAATGTTCTATTTCTGTTCATGGCGAATGTCAGTTAGTGGCTTTTGAGTCATTCCATTTACTTTAATGCCCACTTCCCCCTCCCCCCTTCGTATGAACAATTTTTTTCTGAGGGGTAACTCCAAAGTCGATTCTGAGAGGTTAAGCCTGTCGGCATCCTTTGATCTCTGCAATTTTTCAGTCGAGAAGTAGAAAATACATGCTTGCAGAAACCCTCGCTTTGCTGACAAAACCATTGTATTTTCCGAACATGAAGTATCTAAAGTGGTTGTCATGGTAACACGATAATTTTTTAACGGAATATTTTTTCAAACGATAAATCGCCTAAAAATATCACTTTTATTTACAAAATTATCAATTTCCCAATTATATGCATGTTAGATATGTTATTATGCGTAATATAAGCTTCCATTTAAGGTGAAATTCAACCACAAACGCTTCGAAAAACGTTTTAAAGTGTTCTTTATAAAACGAAACTGCCCTTATTTTTTTAAATGACTTTATCGATAAACTTTGAGTTTGCAATTAAATGATTTCAAATTCTTGCATGCAAATAACTTTGGCTTTCCTTTTTACTTAAGTAAAAAATGCAATATAATAAAAAAGGGTAATCAATAAAGATAAACCGAAATTATATGATATGTTGTTTAGTTGTTTTATATACGCAATGCCGTTGGGCTTTAAAGCAATTAATTATAAAATCAATATTTAAAACCAGCTTACCTTTGTTAACGTCGGCGCCTTTGCTCCCTTCTTTTGGCCGATTCTTTTGCCCTTTCTTTCTCAGAAGGTTTTTGAAATTTACAAAAGCTTGCAAAAATTCGAGCAAAAATGAAAGACATTTGCAAGAAATTTAGAAATCATCAAATCAAGAAATGTTTATTGCTATTTCGCTGTCGTCATGTAGTCGTTATAATGCAAATTTTAAATTGGACCAATCCGTGTTCGCTATTCATGACAGTCCGCTATATTTTGAGATCAGTGGGGATGACGACCCATGAACGGTTTGAAATAAATAAAAAATACTAAAAAGCGTTTTCCAATTGTTTTCGAAATATAGGCTTCCAATACTGGACTAACCTTTCTAAGTGCGCATAAATTAAATTGCAGTGGATACACATATTAACATATTTGCCAATTTCGTTAATAGATCTTTTATTTCCCCGTCCACTGTCACGCCGAGTGAAGTGGCCCTTTCGTGCCTGGATTTCAAAGAAACAGCTGCAAAGTAAAAATAACAAGTGTAATGTACTGGGTGCTACTGAATATTTAGTGGTAAGGTTCAGCGTCCTAAATCGATGTGGTATGGGAAAGTATTGAAATTAACCTTCAGTTAGTTCAGCATAAATGCAACTACCAGAAGCCGGTTGTACAAACTTCTTGTTAACTCTCCGGTAACAAAATATTGTGCTATACATTTCTGTACTTTTAAACCAATCAAATCCATCACATTTCAGTTAGCTAGAAGTTTTATTGTAGCTGTATACCCAACTTTTCCGAAACCGTTTCTGGACATTTCCGCTCATTTACAACATTTACAGGTAGTTTAGTGCCCCTCTCCTCCGCAGAGGCTTACATGAAGTTTCTAATAAGGGAAAAGTGAGCGCGCAAGGGCCAGGTTTCGGCAACACCCTATATATATTCAAATTAGATAGTAAAAATATTTCACTATGGATTTCACTGTGCACTACACTCTGGTTAAATTTTCTGGTTATTTTAATCTTCTTTCTACTATAATTATGTTAATTTGTCCAGAACCTGCTTAAATTAACCAGGCTTATTAGGTCCCATAATTACTCCGGGTACTGTAAGTACCGGAGTATTAAAATGTCAAATCTTTTTCTTAGGCGACACAAGTGTGCACTTCCACAGGTGCACCGTACGCAGCGCACGCAACGTAATAAGGTCGGAGCGAGCGTTGTGTTTACAATGTATTTAGTTCTATTTACAGTAAATACTATTAAATGAAGCGTTCTCATACACTCGTTTTTATACAGTGACCGCAGTTCATATAAATACAAATCGAAATTCGAGACTTTATCGTGTGTTTAGTAGCGGTTGCCGTTATTGCAAAGCTGAAAGCTAGTTCTGATCGACAAATGGCTTGGTTCGTCACTGACGTTAGCTTGTATTTTTTAATTGTGTCAACACTATACGTAGTTAAATTGTATTAACACTCGTCACTCGTGTTCTTTAAGTCTCCCTTTGTGCCTCGTGGCCAAAATTGAAGTACAAACAACGCACTAATCTATTCGACATATGACATAGGCCTATCTGAAAGTCTTCGATTCGCAAGGCAATTTAGATCGCAAACCACAACAGTATTGGCAATATTGTCTACCACGCTTGAATTAGACAAAAGCGCATATAAAATATATTTAACTAGATAGCTTTACTACCCAACACTATTACGTCTATTACACAGTTTAATGTTTTATTTATAGAGTATTAAAAATCGGTCTCGACGGCTGCAATGTCTTGGTCTTAAAGTAAAATCATTACTAAGACGCTTAAAACAATCTAAACGTTTAATAATAACAAACTTACAGCGAAGCCTTACAAATTAAAACAATCAATCTGTATAAACAAAATATCAACATAACACTAGTTAATTATGAGTTATGGTGCCAGTTATGAATTTACTACCATGCATTGAAAAAGTGTTGACAATTAACTATATGACACGACTAACAATATATTACTTTTTAAATAATTTTCTTTGCGTGTTTGATAAATGTGGTTTGTTTACGTAATTCAGTTTCAGGAATTTTTTCTCGAGGGTCGAGGGCGGGAAGCCAGGGTCGAAAAATCATATATAAAACGTCGAGGGTCATAAAAAAAAGTCGAGGGTCATCAGTAAAAAGTCCGGGGTCGTATATCTAAAATATTTTATGGTTTTTATTGTCGAGGGTAGAAATTTGCGGGCATTCTCTATAGATAAATTTGCAAGTGGGGCATGCACGATAGCGAAAACAATACTTTCAAGATGGCGTTGCGAACCCGGAAAAGGCGTATGGCAATGGCAAGGTCAGGGGCGGATCTAGGATTTTTTGCACGTTAGTCAAAAATCTATGACGTGACGCGAATGACGCAAAACGTGATGACGTCATTTGCCATGACGTCATTCGATGTCATGATGATAGTCCAATTTTCGTGGAAGTATAGATATTTTATTTTATCAAACTACAAATGCGCAAATGACATAAATTTCGTACCTGCCAATGTTCAGCATATACATGATAAAGTAATATATAGACTGTTTTGCCCTACAGTGTATACCTTGGTTCATCAGCATGCCTAGGAAACACATTTACCAAAAATAGTAAACCATGATCCAACAAGGACAGCTCGTTGAAAAAGCTGAACACAAGCACATGTTTCTGGCACCTTAAAACTAGATTGCTTGCCTTCACACCTTTTGCAGGAGCAAAAGGAGTTTGGTTAGAACTTAGAAATGGGTGACAATGAAAACCAGCTAAAATGAGCAATCTGGTTTTAAAGTGCCATAAACCCACCTCACACCTTTCACAATAGCAAAAGGAGCTTGGTTAAAAATGGGTGACAATATGTGAAATTGCCCAGTTTTTCCCTTTAGCCCCTTCCCCATTCCCCCTATTACTAACCTATGTCTAATCTAATTAAATTCATCATCTTGTTATATACTGTCCACTATGAAAATGTATAACATCACAAGTGAAATGGTGCCTCAAAGTTGCAGCTTCATTGGAAGCCAACTTTTATTGAAAACAACCTGGCATTTTACCTGGCATTTTACCTGGCATTTTACCTGGCATTTTAATTAAACATATTTTAATCACAGTAGATTCAAACACAAAAGATTCATTACAAATGACTATTACTTTACTTATCTAGTTATCTGAAATAATTGGCAAGGTTTTTAACACAGTATTCTATTATTCTTACACCATGCTTACATACTGTATATAGACACATACTATCAACATGGTGTTTGTCTGTCAGGGCCTGAAATAACATTCCCAAAATTCCCGATCATGGTGATTGATCATGGTGATTGGCAGTCATGACTTTCCCTGCTTTTCAGGTTGAAAACCCTGCTTTTCCGCTGATCATAAGCAATTTCTTGCTGATTATTGATTGGTAATCAGTTGTTATTTCAAGCCCTGGTCTGTTGAAAAATTTAACTGGTTCAAGATGCAATGGACCCATCTCAAGCCAATGAGATCAGACCGATATTTGGCATCAGCTTTTGTCTACAAAGCCCGAATGTTTGGGGAGGGGGGAGATTATGGGAATTAAGGTGGTGATCTTGAAAGACTAAGTTTGGTTGATGATGAAGGAAGTTTTTTCTCATGCCCCAGGAAGTTTTTTCTCATGTCAGTGTTGTGTACAAGAGTGAGGTTATTGTTATTGGAGGCGAGAGTGGTCTTTTTGCAAGCCGATATATTTAACTTTAACCTCATGTTCCAGAAAATTTATTAATAAAGTTTCCTACAGTATGTTAGGAATAATATCCTGGTGAATTTGCATCATGACCAAGCCAAATCATTTAATTTAATTAGTCTTCAAACATAGTGCTTCTTCACTTATACTGTATAAAAAGTGACCTACTGTATAGACCTTTCACACTTGCACTGTAAACATTTAAACTATCAAGGTCAAATTTATAGGTCATTGGTACCTGTCAATGCTTAGGATCGAAACAGAGCTATACAGGCAATTGCCAATTGTATTAGATCTAAAAATATAACCAAAGATTATATTATTATTATCTTTATGACTTTATAAAGTACATTTGTAGAGCTATTATCAGTCAATCAATACTCTATAAAGCATGTACACAATAAATATTTTTTATCCAACATGATCAAATATTTGAGATCAAGTTTCTGCCACTTGAAGTGTTTTAATTTCATACACATATAAATGAATATGTATGCAGTATATGAAACTTTGGACCTATAACCTCGCACAATTATGCAAATCGTACGTTCAATTCAACGATTTATTGTTCAAAATTCAAACCACTTTACGTTATTGCCATAAACCTCTTATTAATCTCTTTGAAAATATAAACGACGAGAAATCAACACATCATAGTTTCGGCCAAGAAATTTTCTTGCATCCATCGAATTTATCAGCTTGAAATATTCTCCACAGAACACCAGAAAGCATCCCTTATCGTAACAAATAACGATATAACCCTTTCGAACTCTTTATTTCGAAAATAGTTCAATAAGATTAAGCGAAATAATTTGCTTGTAAAATTGTAAAGAGCTGCAACAAAGCTACAAAGTGCACAATGCTTCCAAATTGAAGATTAGAAGGCCAATCAGAGGAGAAGTTCTTTAACTCTTTTGCGCAAATTGTCCAATCAGAAGCTGCTATCTATTTGCAGGATTAGTCAAAATAGTCAAAATTGCGCAATCGTTAGTCAAAATAGGTCCGACCAATCAACATGCCTGTAATGTGTAATCTGAGCAAATTTGACCAATCAAATCACATGAACTAAAATGCAGAAGAGTCAATTTTCATTTCAATACCGCTTATTTGACTTATCGTTTGACTAATCAATCGCTGGCTCAATGTGCAAAAACTGATCGAAGTTTATATGCTGGAGTCTGATGTAGTTTTGATTGCATGATCAGAAATGAAGAGAAGCGTTTGCGCTGGGAAAAAAAATCAAAAACCTTAGTCCAAATTTTTTTATATGCCTTTTTTTTACGTTAGTCGCGTGACTAATCTGACTACCCCTAGATTCGCCCCGGGCAGTGGCGTAGCCAGCCCGACAATTTGATCATGCTATGCAAATATCAAATCATTATCATTATTCATTTCGTTAGAAATCAATTGTTTTCACGGTCTATAAACACGAAAATATTTGCATAGCATGACCAAATTCTCGGGCTGGCTACGGCCCCCTGGGCAAGGTGTAAACAAGTCCTGATTACTCTGATTCAATAGACCATATAGTGCATAGACAATACAATAATTTGCGACATGTAATCCGAGATAACGCAGATAATGCACCACGCCGTTTGAAACTATCTGGACTGTAGCTTTTGATCGGCATGTCTGTTTTCATGTAGTAATACTTTATCATATAAAGTAATCGCATATAAAAAATTAATAATTGCATATAAAAATAAGACCTAAAAATTAAAAGTAAACTAAATGAACACGAGCTAAAATTATTATTTTGTTAAATTATTAAAATGTATACCCTCAAGCTTTTTCACCCTCAAATTTCTACCCTCGACAATAAAAAAAATATATATTTGTAAAATACCGCCTCCGACTTATTATATACGACTCGATAAAACACTCCTACGCATGTTTTAAATAGAACTTTTAATAAAGAACTAGATAGCTTTTATTAGAGATAAAAGAGATATTTTTATGTTGTAAAATATTATGATCATTGCATATGTTTTTAGTCACCTGGTGAAGTGGTTACACTGTAGTTCTCCCACGTACTTTTCCAACTTTAATATGCTAAATATCATGCATTAAAGATACCTTCATTGCCGTATGTAAGCATACGTTAAAGTAGCTTTGCGCTTAGTTAAGGCCCTGAACCCGGAGTGAACGCCTGAGTAGGCGTGTTGTTAACATTATTCCAACACCAACTTCTGTAACAATCCGACCACGCAAGTTGGATATTTTAGAGGATATACTGAATGACCTACCACTGGTGAATTTAGATGAGCCATTGTTATGAAATTGCATTAAGCAGCCATTAAATCCTATGTGTTTGGTTAAAATTCATGGGGAAGAGATGCTTGGTGATGTTGAAAGTATTGGTGCAGAAGGTGGAGTTGCAGACATGAACAAGATTGACGAAATTCAGCAGTTGACCCAATTGTTGGTTGTGCAACAGGCTACTGGTGATGCTAAATACGTGAATAATTCCAGCTCTGATTAAGAAATGACATGGACAAGGATTCTGAAGGACAAGGAATGTGGAGGAGACACATTGTATTCTGTGAATTAAGACAAGGATTGTGGAGGACAATTTGTATCCTGAGAAATTTGTTGTAGTTGGTTCCTGGCGAGAACAAATATACCAACAGGCTCTTGTGATAATCATGTATAGATAATCAAAAAATCTCAAGTTGGAGTTTAAAGTGAAATATAAGCAAGAAATTTTTAGTTGAGATTTTTTTTTTTTTTTTTTTTTTAATTAATATTTAATTTCAGGAAGCTTTCTCACAAAGTGATTTTCAGAAAGGTCCTGAACTAAATAAACTATTATACAAGAAAGACATGCATATACTACATAACTATGAAAAATATTAAAAAATTATACGAGGGAAAGTTCAAAGATTGTTAAAAAAGTTTCTCTTAAATGTAGAAATACTAGTAGATAGTTTTATCTTTCTGTCCAAGTTGTTCCAGTCTGTTATGGCCTGATAAGCGAGTCTTTGCTTTCCCCAATTCCTTGACACTTTAGGTGGCCTTAAATTGTCCTTATATCGCGTATTGTAGTTGTGTATTTCTCTGTTCGCTAGAAGTTCAAATCCATGTGAAGTATGATTATTTAGACACTTAAAAACAAATAAACATCTATGATACAATCTGCGTTGTTCAAGAGTGGTCCAGCCTAAGGTGTTTAACGCGTCTGTTGCCGATGAAAAATATGGTCTATCTAAAACAATCTTGGCGGCTTTGTTCTGGAGTATCTGAAGATTGTTCATTAACACTGTATTATTTTTGTCTCCCCATATAACGTCCGCATAGTCAAAGATTGGGAGTACGAGACTGTTATAAAAAAGGATTCGTGCATTAAATGGTAGCAGGTGTTTAATCCTACGAAGTAGACCTAGGCGTTGATTGACTTTAGCGGAAATGCGATCTATATGTTCTGACCAGGTGAAGTTGGCTGTGATGGTGACTCCTAAGTACTTGAAATTGCTGGCGTTGGAGACTTCAGTATTGTTGACAGAGACAGATATCGAAGATATATTACATAACTTCCTATCACTGCCTATAATCATTGATCGAGTTTTATTTAAATTCAGTGTCAGCTTATTCTCATTTAACCAAATCGCTAACTTGAGTAAATCTTCATTAAGATTTTTTTCAAGATCATTGACATCTGAGGCGTAGCAATACAAGACTGTGTCGTCGGCATACAAGGAAACATTGCATTTATTGGTAATACTGGGCAGATCGTTTATGTACACGAGAAAGAGAAGTGGGCCCAAAATGCTCCCCTGGGGTACTCCAAAAGTGACAGGAAGAGCGTCTGACAATTCATTTCCACAAGACGTTTGTTGCATCCGGTTGCTCAGGTAGGACTCAAACCAACCTACGGTGCTACGTGACATACCCATCGCTTTAAGTTTGTGGAGTAAGATGCTGTGGTCCACTGTATCGAATGCCTTCGACAAATCTAGAAATACAGCTCCACAAAGCCTTCCACATTCCATGTTACTCAGAGTTTCATCCGCAAAGTTGGTCAGGGCAGTGATGGTTGAGTACCTTTGTCGAAATCCAAACTGCTTGCTTGTGAGCAAGTTGTTAGTAATTAGGTGGCTATACAATTGCGAGTGAACGGTTCTCTCTAAGATCTTACTTAGAGTAGGCAAGACCGAGATAGGACGATAGTTTGTAGGATTGGAACGTTCACCTGATTTAAATAGGGCCGTAACCTTAGCACATTTCCAAATCTTTGGGAAATTGTTGCTCTTGATGGAAAGATTAAGTAATCTTGTCACAGACTTGCTGATTGAACAAGACGCACATTTTAACAGTCTTGCACTTATTTTGTCCAAACCGATAGCTTTGTTGGTCTTCGAAGTCTGGAGTTGTGCAAGAACATAGGATTCTTGTACTTCTTCGAGCTCAAACATTGTTTCCGGGACAGGAGTGGGACTTGCTGTAAATGTTTGTGAGACAGTTGTAAACTTTGCAGCTAAGGATTTTCCGACTGAGGCGAAATAAGTGTTAAGGGCAATGGCAATAGATTTGGGGTCTGAGTGTTTTACTCCAGCAGTGACAATGTACTGCGGGGTGGAGCTCTTGTTATCGCGTGACGAAACTTCGTTAACCGCCTTCCAAATCCTGCTGGAGTCACCTTTACTTTGTTCAATTAGCTCGCAGTAGTATTTGGACTTGGCCGATTTAACTTCTTTATTAACAAAGTTTCTCAATTTTTTGTACATATTCCAATGATAGGTTTTGTTTGACTTTACGGCTTTGCGATGATGGTAGTCGCGATCTTGCATAGCTTCGCTAATCTTACTGTTCATCCATGGTACTTGTGTGCAGTGGCGAAGCCAGCGTCGTGTGAGTGGTCATGCAAACGAGCGCCGAAGGCGTGAGACATCCTAGGGGGGTCCGGGGGCATGCCCCCCCCGGAAAATTTTTGAAATATATACCCCAGAAACGCCATTTGCAGCAATCTGAGCATCAAATTTCAGAAAATAGCTTGATCTAATGACGGGAAAATATGTGGATATTTTGGCATATTTCAGACAACAATAACGAAGATCGACACAAAAATAGGAAATCTGTGGTCTGCAGTTCCGCTAGCCTGCATGGCAGGCGGTATTTCTACGGGCAGCGAAAATTAGGGAAGCAAAGGAAATACCGTCTGCCGCAAAACTAGGGGTTTTTGAATTACCCGTCCGCTGGTGAACGGGAAAAACGGATTGGTTAGTATTTTTATGTAGTTGTCAATCAACGGCTAAATTCGGTTAAATGTTAATCATTAACCAAATGTTTTGACGTTTTGAAACTCTGCGTTTTGAAATTAGTTCACGTCAAGTCAGACCAGAAATGGAATAACATAATAAAAGAAGCAAATTAAAAGATACAAGCTGAAAAATAACACCCTAAATAGTGTTTTTGATAGAGATTCGAACAAGAATATTTAACAAAGAAGATACATCCGAAGGGGCCGAAGTTATGATCGGCGAAAGGTATGGGCTAGTCTATATTTTCGTTCAGACAATTACATGCGTATTAATTTGATAATATACTATCTCGCTTGACTTTCAAAGGCCCTAAATCGCAATAATGTTGACATTTTACTAAAACTATCGATAGAAATTAGGAGGTATTTCTTCACTGAATCGAACAGTGGGATTTCCATATAGGCCTATCAGTCATGTTCTGAACCAAAGATACTTGATATTATATACGAACCTCCAAAGTATAAACAAGGGGCCGGTTGATGCAGTAATTATCAAATAACTGTTAAACTCTTATATACCCGTTGAATATGTATAGTTGTAAACAAATAAAAACTATCGTTCTATAAGGTTCAATACTTTCAGTTTGGTTGTTGACTGATGATGAATCTATAGTATAGACTTGCATGCTTTGTATTTTGAGCTTATTAAACCACCGTTTTAAGGCAGCTAAACGGGCTTGGTTTATATTAACACATAAAATAAATTCCTTGATTCTCATCACTAGACATAGTCTACACTTTGAAATGTCGAAGACAGTGGGAGATTTATTTTTTATATTTTATATTTATATAATTTATATATCAATAGTTCGTATCTCCACGAACAATGACAGAATGACTGGGTTTCTTTAAAATACAATGAAATTTCACTCAAAATTCTGTTTGTTTCAAATTGGAAGTTTAAAATGGCAATAAAAACTCTATATAAAATATGAAAAAATTAACTGTCTTGAATTATTTTGTCGGGCGGTACATTTATATTGTGTAACTAAAAATAAAACGTTTTCACGAGGATTTTAAAATTCAGTCGGGCGGTGATGAGAATCAAGGAATTTATTTTATGTTGGGCAGTTGGGACTTGGGAGCAGCTTGGGAGTGGCTAATTTTGAATATTTCCTTAATTAATGCATCTATAAATAGCGTTGATGCTTCAGGGGCGGTAGTTCATTTACACCCAGTTTTGCGGCAGGCGGTATTTCCTACGTACCGCCTGCCATGCAGGCTACAGTTCCGCTAATTATAGTCATACCGGCAATTGTGCATTTCTTTTCGATCAGAAAATATTACATGCATGTTCTGTATTATCATAGTCTGTATAGACTACCTAATTGCTATCCCCTTGTAGTATTCCAACGTGAAGTCTGAAGAGTTTTCACATTTCCAGAACTAGATACAATTTTATCCACATATACTAACGGAACATAATGACAAATAGCTGCTAATTAATACACTCAGAACAGTCAGTATAATCTAGAATATAGGTATATATGCAGGACTTGGAAAATATAACGCATGAGCCTTGATCAATTTCCTTAATTTAAAATCAATCGCCCAATTATTACAATATTACATACAGAAATGAATTAAGCATTATCAGATGTTTGAGTAGAAGTTTTACTGTCAGTTTTATAGCCGAATTCTGCATTCATATCGATTCAGTATTGGCTATTGCGGCTATTGCCAATATTGGATATTTTCGAACGCACGGGGAGTATGTACAGTACCAAATGGTAAATACAATTTAACAATATATACTGAAATTTCTTTGTTTGTTTCACAAACAAGTATATATCAAATATGTTGCTAAATCACAATCGCTAAATTGTTTGTGTTGCGTGTTGAAATGTATAAGCTTTGCAGCGCTATTTATAGCCTACATTGTTTACTACATTGACCTCGACATTGTATTTCATATAGTATATAGCGTTCGATGCTTTATACGCCTATGCTCGGGTTGAAGGCTTAAATATTCAAGACAAAATACATGTAACAATAACTAAATACCAATAGGCAATAGCTTATTTAGCCTAAGCCTGACTGGCTAAGCCATTCTTTCTTTGAATACCACGACATTTGAAAACCTTCCGATCGGGCATGTCGAAAGATCTGGCGTTTGTCTCTGCTTATAAACAATAATATTCTGCTCAGCAGAAAATGGCTTTTTCACCAATTCCCAAACAAAATCGTTAGCTTCGAGTAAAGAAGAAGTCGACATGCTTGAATGACCTGAAGACATGTTCATTCAGGCTGAAAGCTTCGAGATAAGAGGCTGTGATCAGGTTGTATTGCCCGTTTAGTCATGCAAATCGAAAATTGCATGACCAAGGCGTCAAAAACAGCCGCATTGCGCGTGCGCGAACGTCGTAAGCCAATCAGAAACCAACAAACCTAATATAAAATAATACAGCTAGTCATGAAATTCTGAAAGTGCATGACCAAAACACACAGCGAGCAAACCACGCAGCAATCACACGCAATCTTTTTCCACGCGCTTACGCAACCGGTCATGCATGTGAAAATATGCAGGACCGCTCAGTTGCCAAGGTAACAAAACCAAAATCAATAACATACGAGAATATTTAGCAAGAATATCGCCTAAAGACCATTGATTTGGGTAAACAAAATAATAAATAAAATACTTAGGCGTAGAAGTGCAAAGATAAAGTATAATTCTATTGTAAACAATTATACTGAACTGATTTTTAAACATTTTTGGGGAAATTTTAGTCATGCACTGCATGACCTGCATGACCGCTGGCTTCGCCACTGAGTCTATACATACAGACTCAACTGAAATAAACATCGGCTGGAATGTGAACCTTACACCGGTGTCAGTTCTGTATCCAGCTGATGACGAATAAGTAAGTGTACGTCGCCAGAGGCGATAAAATAACTAGTATTATACCGGTTTCTAGCGAAATAAATATCATCAGCTGAAATGTAAACATTACCTCTGCATCAGTCAGTTCGGTCAGTTCAACATCCAGCGATGACGTCGGTCGCGTCGAATGCAATTCAAACAATAGATAATGAAGCTTAGTGAGCTTTATCATCTCATTACCTATTGTCTTAATTGCATTCGACGCGACCAAAATTTCTAATCTGGCCACCGCGTGCGGCCAAAACATCACCATATTTCATTAGAACGGGAGCTTCGGCCGAAACTGCTTCGGACGAAAGTCACGAAACTGTACCAAGTTGGCCATAACCTTTCACTGTCGCTGTAATGGCAACCATGAAGGAAGGACCATTCGTAGTGAGATACTGCCGATGTTTGGCCGCGGCGCCGTAATAATAGAGAGTTTAAGTTCGACTTCCGATACGAATACCGAATGACGATTAATGTGTTCTATACTTTATCTGTCGTGATAACTTAATGCTCTAAAATTCCCGGTATCAAAATGAGAACTGAAGTGAAAACATTGGTATCGGTATTGGTATTGGAAGTCGAACTTAAATTAACTCTTTAATACAGAACCTGGTGCCATTGGATGAGCTGGAAGCTGAATTGGAGTGCTTCGGCGAGTAGGATGCATGCCTCGGAAAGAAAAGACTAAATCTAACAAAAACATACTGTACAATAAAAAATAACATACAACTTACAAGACACAAAGCAGCGGGAATAAATCACAATGGCATACATCGGGGAAACCGTAAATTGAATATTCCATTTACACAATGCTGCAAATATATAATTATTCGGGCAAGAATTTTCAGACGGCAACTACTGATTTTCAAACGAGTTGTTCTCCTGCGGGTTTTAAATTTTCACAGGACATAGCTAAATTAGACGTCAGTTTCGAAAATTTGATGAAAATCGGACTGATATTGAGCGCGCAGTAGGGATTTTTCGCACAACGCCAAAAAAGGTGTTCTGCATGTAACCTTTCAAACGTCGAACTTTTCGTGTGCCAAACCTAATGTTAATGAGCTAAGTTCTTTGTTTCACTTCATTTGCATTAGGTTCGGCACATGAAAAGCTCAACGTTCGGACCGTGGCCTTAACTCCTCAGAGTAGGCTTAATTAAAAAAATTGCTATGATTTGTGCCTGAACTCCTTAAAAAGCTAATGTATATCAAACAAACCAGTCCAGCGTAGGTGGTATTCTACAACAAACTGCCGCCACTGGTATTCGAACTACCTGTAAAAGATATCTGAAAAAAGATATGACATTCTCCCATGCGTTGATGTATTCAGTGCATTTACATCCGGAAAGGTGCCTCAAACGTTGTGATCCAGTGAATTAATCTTCTGGTTTAAAAAGTAATGTTCTGCTGTGCTTATCTTTGCCTTGCCTTTCCAAAGTGAGCAACGACGACGTGTAAACTTAATTATTCATTACATTATGTATAAGATGTTATTGAACTTCAGAATATATATGTTGCCGTCGGCATCACGTCGCTTACCTAAGGTTCCTTCATTTGAAATTCCGAAGTGTATTCAGTATTTTTCAGAAGACTTAGACAAGATCAATATAATTATCATTATCAAGAACAAGATCATTATCTCAGTTTGGTGTTTCTGTCCCGAATTTAGACTGGTTTTCTGCCTATCTAACGGTAAAAGAGCGAGTAGTAGTGGACGGTTTCTCGTCGACCTATGTAGAAGTGACATCTGTTGTTCCACATGGTAGTATCGTAAGTGCAGTCAAAGTTTAATCACAAAAAATGCTCTGGTATAAGAATTTCACGGAAGCGTTCGATTGAGTCACTTGAGTACTCTATCAATAACAAACAGAGAGTACTCTATCAATTTCGCCTAGAGGTATCTTGGGATACTAGTCACCAGTAGGCAGTAATTTCAAATGTTCACCTCATATTTCTAACATCGTTCAAGGCACAACGTATATATGCTTGAATTTCTACGTCGTAACTGCGCATATCTGACTGATGTAAAATGTAGACGTTCTCTGTACTTGCAACTTGTTCCTGCACACCTATGTTACGGCGCCGCGAACTCTGGGCACCTGAAACAACATCTAGACCTAGACCTTCTTTGGTCGGAAGGTGTCAAGCGACCAGTGGCGGCGCCAGGCCTCCAAATTTGGGGGACATTTGAGGGGCAAACTCAAATTTGGGGTGGGGGAAAGATAGAATTTTTAAAATGCCCCCCCCCCGAGGAGATTCGCACCCCCCTCAAAACGTGGCGATATTCCTAAGAATATCGCCCCCGGGGGCGAATATCTTAGGAATATCGCCTCCCAGGGGGGTGGGGAGAATACCCATGATGGGGCGAATGCCCCCCATATATGCGGTGTGGTTTATTCAAATAATTTCGTGATACTTTCAACTTACTTTGAACTTATCAAAATACTCATTATTGTTTATGAGTTTAGTTTTAAGCGACTGAACAGTGAGAGAAGCTTTTATATCGTCGGGCAGGCAGTGCGATTGGAGTACAATCCTATTGAAAAATATACATTTCGGAAAACAGATCTTCTACAGAGGTTTAGTCGGTAGGAACCAGTGTCGTTCTTGTTTTAAAATTGCCCCTAAAAGCACATTTTAGCGAATTTTATTTATGTACGTACCTATATAATCATGTCAAATCCGTAAATTTGTTAGTTTACACAGCGTTGTAATATAGCATGTCAGATAGGATTGAATTTAGGACTTTATTTGTCCTGTTGTCCAAACCTTCAATTGTTATAATTGTAAAATTAATAAGAAGATAATATATGTTTTCTGCTTTCAACGTTATGCCTATCTGCTGTCCACCGCACAATTGTCTTCCTCTCACTCACTGAATGATGCTTCCACCAAATATATTCTAATTTACGGCACACCCGTGGAGCGATTTAATGTTAAAAATGACGCAAAACCACACTATTTTTAAACCAATTCCAGGCATGAAGAACATGCGAAATAAGTTATTAATTACCCATTTGAATGACACAACAAACGAACACCATGCAGTTGTCAAAACTTAAAATACAGACGTTTTTGTTTAGGTGCTTACCACGTGTTTAGTCCTTGCCACTGAATTTACTTTTTGGCACTGAATTTACTATTTGGCATTATATTTTGATAAAATTGCACCATTCTTACCCAATCAGAACCGATATGTATATTATTTTCATGATTTTCATGTATATTATTAGTGATCTATAATCGCTCTATTAACGCTTATTTTCATTGGTCTTTAGTTCCATCAACAAAAGGTTTTCTCATCTACAACGGTGCTCACAACAAATGCATCCCAATTATTGGAAACGATACCATCACTGCGAGACCATGTGACCAGATATCTACTAATCAGATGTGGCGGTGGACACAATGTAACCAACTTCAAAATAGTTTCAGCCAAACATGTCTCAGCGCACCTGAAACACCAGTAAACTGGGGTCGTCTCAAATTGTCCACGTGTGATTGCCATGACAACCATCAAGTGTGGGCATGCACAGATGACGTCATAAGGTTGCATGGTACAATACTGAACGTGAATTACGGGAATCGTCGAGGTGGAGACAGGGTTGGGCTGTTCCAAGGGACTGGATCCTGGAGTAAATGGAAGGTCTATGGAGAGGACCTGCGCGTGTGTGAAAAAAGAAAAGGTATATAGAGGATAAGCGGCGGTCATGCGTTGCGCGCTTGCATTAATTTCTGTAGTGAGTTTTGGACAAAAAGTGGTTAGGGCTTATACTTTAACCTCTGCGACGTGGTTTGGGTCCTACGGCGCATACTGTTGCTGTTTTCGTAATATATAGCACTACCCAGCACAAACGGCAAGTTTGTCTACTTCAGGTTTCCCATTGTAAGTAATACTGGTTTTAATGGATCGCCATTACATCACATTACCACTGCGAGGAACAATTCTCAACTGACAGAAATATGAAGTATAAAAAATTTAATATCGTACCTGCCTCTAAATCCTTTGTCTCGCGAGATGCGATTAATGACTACTCATCCAACGGGACGATTAGTTACAAGACTACAAATTGTCCCTCATCTTTATGCCTAACAGCTCTTATATTGATGTTCAAAAAGACATGAAAAATCAACCGTATAACCTCATTAGCGAACTTCTCCATAGTCATTAGTGCCAAAGAGCAAACGCGCTTTTTCATTTCATCTTATTAAATTGAATGAAACCGTTTTATTGTCTCGGTAGCTGTGATATTACAATTAAGTGATAGCATGGCATTACGGTCAATTAGTGATGAAATGTCCCTCAGCCCTCGAGAGGTTTAGTAAAAGTACTCTCTCGGCTTTCGGGTATATTTAATCACAAATCGACCTGAATGCCATGCTATTACTTATAATTATTAACGACCTACGTTCGACAATAAAACGAAAAGGATTACAAATCACTTTTCTGTGGACTCGTATGTCTCCTTTAAACTAATTTTGTAGATGTTATTGTAACAACGACACAACCATCGACTAACCCATCAACACCAATTGAGATCTCAACACCGACGCCTCCCTTACCGTGCGTGTTTAAATAGAGATTCCTTTTAGATTTAAGTTTACGACAAAAAAATTCAAAATGCCGCTGAAACGCAGCCATTAAAACTTTGAGATGAAACTTTGGCAGATGATTATATATGCTACTTTTAAAGATTAAAGAAAAGAAAATTTCTATGATTAAAAGTCATGTACTGGGCTGTTCATGAATTTTTTTGGAGGCGAATTTTTCTGCCAGAACTATGCGAACCATGTCCATAAAAATTCCCCCAATAATGAGTACTATCTGTGATAACGAAGATATAACGTATAGTCAAAGAGCTTTCGACGATGGACTGTAAATTTTGAACGAAATTTCTATACATATTTTAGAGATAACCGAAAATAGGTTTGCGAAACGCAACTACGCCCCAGTTTGTCATTAGTTTCGCCCAGTCAGGTCTAAGATATCTATATCATTTTGCCTTGAAATCTGCCTTATCGAGCGATGTGGCCATCTACTCATATATCATTACAGTAGAATACATTCATCAATTTATTGTTTGGTTTTGGCAACCGGTTTTGTTTTTGCCATATAGTTTTCTGTTGAAATTCCATTAACAAAACCGTTCAGCATTCTGTTCCTCAAAGATTGGATATTGACCCCTAAATTTACTATCCGTTGTACTGAGATGTCCGAAGACGTACAATCTCCTTTAATTGATGGTTTAAGTAAAGTCACCGCCAGGACTTGTGCATCGACATCTCCTAATACAATGTGGAAATGGACGAAATATGGCCAACTGCAGAGTATATTTACGCTTGAATGTCTGACCGCGCCTGATCCTGCAGTAGACTAGGGACGAGTTGAGCTAGCGGATTGTGACAAAAATAATCGTCGCCAAATATGGTCATGTTCGGAAGATTTCGTCAGGCTGGCCGGCACAACACTGAACTTGAATTTTGGTAACGTTCAAGGTGGAGATTACTTAGTTCTTTATCAAGGTACTGGTAGCTGGAGTAAGTGGACGCTGTTTGGTAAAGAAAAGAGCATCTGTCCAAAACGTAAAGGTATATAAAGTCAAAACAAGTCAAGGACAAGTAAACAAAGCAAAGTTGTTGGTTTGATTAATGACTAATTTACCTCATTGCTAAAACACGAGGGACGATTAGAAGCTACTCATCCAACGGGACGATTAGTTACAAGATTACAAATTGTTCCTCATCTTTATGCGTAACAGCTCTTATATTGATGTTCAAAAAGACAAGAAAAATCAACCGTAACCTCATTAACGAACTTCTCGATAGTCATTAGCGCCAAAAAGCAAACGCGCCTTTTCATTTCATCTTATTAAATTGAATGAAACCGTTTTAGTTTCTCGGTAGCTGTGATATAATAATTAAGTGATAGCATGGCATTACGGTCAATTAATGATGAAATGTCCCTCAAGCCTCGATAGGTTTAGTAAAAGTACTGTAGATCTCTCCACTTTCGGGTATATTTAATCACAAATCCACCTGAATGCCATGCTATTACTTATAATTATTAACGACCCACGTTCGACAATAAAACGATAAGGATTACAAATCACTTTTCTGTGGACTCATAAGTCTCCTTTAAACTCTTTAGGTAGATGTTATTGTAACAACGACACAACCATCGACTAACCCTTCAACACCCACTGAGTCCTCAACAGCGACGCCTACCTTACCGTGCGTGTTTAAATAGAGATTTCTTTTATTTTAAATTTAAGTTTTCGAAAAAAAAATCAAAACGCCACTAAAACGCAGCCATTAAAACTTTGAGATGAAACTTTAGCAGGTGATTATATATGCTACTTTTAAAGATTAAAGAAAAGAAAATTTCTATGATTAAAAGTCATGTACTGGGCTGTTCATCAATATTTTTTGAAAGCGAATTTTTCTGCCAGAACTATATGCGAACTTTTTCCATAAAAATTCACGCAATAATGAGTACTATCTGTGATAACTAAGCTATAACGTATCGTCGAAGAGCTTTCGTCGATGGACTGTGAATTTTGAACGAAATTTCTATACATATGTTAGAGATAACCGAAAATAGGCTTGCGAAACCCAACTACGCCCCAGTTTGTCAATAGTTTCGCCCAGTCAGGTCTAAGATATCTTTATCATTTTCGCTTGAAATCTGCCTTATCGAGCAATGTGGCCATCTACTCATATATCATTACAGTAGAATACATTCATCAATTTATTGTTTGGTTTTGGCAACTGGTTTTTTAAAAAGTTTGTTGCCATATAGTTTTCTCTTGAAATTTCCATTAACAAAACCGTTCAGCATTCTGTTCCTCAAAGATTGGATATTCACCCCTAAATTCACTATACGTTGTACTGAGATGTCCCAAGACGTACAATCTCCTTTAGTAGAATTTTATAGCATGCAGTACATAGTATTTTCCTATTCTTCACTGTGCAAAGGTTTATCATTTTCTTTTGTATTATTTAGCTACAGATCTAGAAGACTTTATGATATACAATTCAGCACACGACAAATGCATCAGCATAGATGGTTTAAGTAAAGTCACCGCCAGGACTTGTGCATTGACATCTCCTAATAGAATGTGGAAATGGACGAAATATGGCCAGCTGCAGAGTATATTTACGCATCGATGTCTGACCGCGCCTGATCCTGCAGTAGAATGGGGACGAGTTGAGCTAGTGGATTGTGACAAAAATAATGGTCGCCAAATATGGTCATGTTCGGAAGATTTCGTCAGGCTGCCCGGCACAACGCTGAACTTGAATTTTGGTAACGTTCAAGGTGGAGATTACTTAGTTCTTTATCAAGGTACTGGTAGCTGGAGTAAGTGGAAGCTGTTTGATAAAGAAAAGAGCATCTGTGAAAAACGTAAAGGTATATAAAATTAAAACAAGTCAAGGACGAGTAAACAATGCAAAGCTCGTTGGTTTGAATCCTCGCCCGGTCAAGCTTTTCTTTTTAGTTCTTTCGCTGTGGAGCGAGTCAAAATAGCATCATCTATGACGAAACTTACCCCATGATATAATCCTGCAATCTTTTAGAAACTGAGTTTGTACGTGATAATTTTCTGATGTATTGATTGTATATGGGCAGTTGATACACCGAGAACAAAGGCAGATTTCGTGCTCGACAAATCAGCGCATTTGTTTACATTTTCACTCTAAGCTATCTAATCATAATGCAGGAAATGCGAAATGTACACCAACTGGCGAACTAGAAAATGTTGCTATCTTCTCGGGCTTTCGTGACATTCAATTTTAACTTTAAATTAAAACCAAAAGATTATCATATAGCACATTAAAATCTAAAACTTTGCCTCCGGCATTTTTAAATTTCGTCCTAAGAACGGAAAATATCCATGTTTGAAATTTTTCCCTATGTCGCGTATACAAATTTGAGTAATCTAATTTGACTGCAATAAAACTAACAATTGCCACACTTTCTCTGCTTTTAAGTTTTTGCTGGAAAACTCTTTTTCGCTCTTGTTGCAAATTGTTTTGGTCAATGTTTTATTTCAAAACCTAGACAATAACGCGTTTATAGCGCCTGGTTTAAAAAAACATGGTCGCATGCTCGCGATCATACCGGAAATCAATACAAAAATATTGTCCGACCGATTTTGCGGAAAATCAGTCTCTCTAAACGCGTTATCTTCTCGGTTATGAAATAATACATTGACCAAAACGATTTTCAGCAAGAGCGGAAAAGTTTTTTCCAACAAAAGCGGAAAGCAGGAAAAATGTAGCAATTTTTAATTTTATTGCAGTCAAATTAGATTACTCAAATTTGTATACGCGACATAGGGGAGGGTTTCAAAAATTTCGCGTTTCCTGCATTATGACTAGCTGAGAGCGAATATGCAAACAAATGCGCTGTTTGGTCAAGCACGAAATCTGCCCCTGTTTACCCCGAGTGTCTCTTTAGCTCTGTGGTCAGACGCGCTGCTAGGTAATGCAGAGATCCTTGGTTTGTTTCCTTGACGAGAGGATTCAATTTCTTTCGACAGACAAAAACTACCCATATCATTCCGTCAGATACTGTCAATGATACCCAGAGTGCACAAGATAGGCAGTCCGGTTAGGCACAAGATAGGCACAATTTTCTGCACAAGATAGGCAGTCCGGTTAAAAAGGGATTGTACCCAATATCTCTATTTCTTTATTTTCACCAGAAGCGAGATTCTTCTTATGGTATACATTTTCGCTTCTATGTCATTATGGTCAATATTTTGGTATAGATAAATTTGAAAAAAAGCATAGTTTGCTACATTGGAAAACAATAGAAAGGCAGTAGGTTTGAGAAAGGCAACTATACCCCCAATTTGTCATTAGTTGCTCCCAGTGAGTTTTAAAACATCTAAAACGGTTTACTATCGGTTGTATTGAGATGTCGGAAGGCGTACAATGTCCTTTACTAGAATTTTATAGTAGCATGCAGTAAATCGTATTTTCTTCACTGTGCAGTGGTTTCTCATTTTTCTTTTGTCGTATTTAGCGGCAAATCTAGAACGCTTTATGATATACAATTCAGCACACGACAAATGCATCAGCATTGATGGTTTAAGTAAAGTCACCGCCAGGACTTGTGCATTGACATCTCCTAACAGTATGTGGAAATGGACGAAATATGGCCAGCTACAGAGCATATTTACGCTCGGATGTCCGACCGCGCCTGATCCTCAAGTAGACTGGGGACGAGTTGAGCTAGCGGTTTGTGACAAAAGTAATGGTCGCCAAATATGGTCATGTTCAAAAGATTTCCTCAGGCTGGCAGGCACAACGCTGAACTTGAATTTTGGTAACGTTCAAGGTGGAGATTACTTAGTTCTTTATCAAGGTACTGGTAGCTGGAGTAAGTGGGAGCTGTTTGGTAAGGAAAAGAGCATCTGTGAAAAACGCAAAGGTACTTATAATCAAGGAGTAGCAAACAATTCAAAGGTAGTTCATTTGATTCCGCATCCGGTCAGGCTTTTGCGTTTAACTTATTTGCTGTGGAGCCACTTGGAATAGCATCATTTAACGAACTTACCCCGTGATATAATCCCGCAATCTTTAAAAGACTGAATTTGTACGTGATATTTTTCTCACGTGTTGATCGTATGCAGTTGATACCCCGAGTATGTCGTTGGGGCGGCCCTTTAGCTCAGTGGTCAGACGCGCTGCTAGGTAAGGCAGAGGTCCTTGGTTTGTTTCTTTGACGAGAGGATTCAAATTTTTTCGACAGTCAAAAACTACCCATATCATTTTGTCAAATGCCGTCAATGATACCAAGGAAGAGTGTATTTTCTGCAAGCTGCGCAGACCGTTTAGAAAGGGGTTGTATGCAAAGTCTTAAAAAATCTCTCATGACACAACAAGATAATTCAGGGACGTGTTGGCTAGGGACGAGTCGGGCCCCTAAGATTAAAATATTGGAAACGATAAATATAGATTTTGAAAATCAAGATTAAGATATTATGGTATGTCCGGAAATTTTTCACTCTTCCCTTCCTCCCCCCCCCCCCCTCCCCGCTCTCCAACAATTTTATTGAAATATTACTTCTTATTCCAGATAATCTTTCAACGTCTCCGCGGACGCAATTTACAGTGCAAACGACAACAAGATTGGGTCCATCTACAAGAAATCCAACGGAAATTACAACTCCAAGTAAGTGCACTTAAAATTATATGCAGAACGTCATGCAATTGCGAAATCGTGTGCAAAAATCTACACGAAAGCTTGTAGAAATATGTTTTTTTGTGGAATACCGCATAAATGTTCTGGCGAGAATTATGCGTTTTGCCAAAAATATCGCCGAAAGGATATTTTTAAACAAGGGGTGCAACAGTGTAAGTATATTATTCTACAATAAGCTACCGTGATTGGCACCCGAACTATTTGAAGAAAAGATGTCACATGCGGGTGTCAAAATTGTATCCAAACCACCTGAAATAAAAAAATATGTAAAAGCAGTTTGCGGTTCAGTGTAGGTGGAATGCTTCAAACTCTTCAACAAGTTGCTCTGGTTTGTGCTTGAGCTCCTTAAAATGCTACTGTATCTCGAACAAACCGATCCAGTGTATGTGGTTGTAGTGATTTACCTGTAGAAATTAGGAACTGTATAGAGACTACCGAGTACTTTGTAAAGAGGCCAATAATTTCTTAATCTTGAAAGCATGGTCAAGACTTGGCTAAACTTTGAAATTACCGACATTATTTGGATATAGTTACATAATTGTAAATGTTTTTTTTTGTAATACAATAGTAATATTGCAGCAGTATTCGTATATATAGTTTGTAGAATTTGTATATAATTTAATTGTATTTGTATATTTTAGTGAGAGAAAAGCCGCTCTGTGGATGTATTGCCAATAAATCGTTTTTATTAATTTATTATTATTATTACTTATAGGTAATAGTATAGTTTAGTAAAATTGTGATAAATTGCACTATCCTTAACCAATTGGAATCGAGCAATTTTTCATGTATATTATTAGTTTCCTGTAATCCCTCATTCTTGTACTCAGAGCCCTTCTTACGCGCGGTGCGAGTAGGGGCTCTGGCCAAATCCAAAACCGGATACCATAAAAACATGGTAAAAGAATATATCCGGTATTAGAACAATAACCTTTGTTGTAGCCAATCAGATGCCAGTTTGATATGGATTTGGCCAGAGCCCCGTGTCGCGCTCCGTTGACCGCGCGTAAGAAGGGCTCTGGGTACGAGAATGGTAATCCCTCTATTAACGCGTATTTTCATTGGTCTTTAGCTCAATCAGGCAAAGGTTTTCTCATCTACAGCGCTGCTCACAACAAATGCATCTCAATTATTGGAAACGATATCATCACTGCGAGAACATGTGACCAGATATCTGCTAATCAGATGTGGCGGTGGACAGCATGTGACCAACTTCAAAATAGTTTCAGCCAAACATGTCTCAGCGCACCTGAAACACCAGTGAACTGGGATCGTCTAAAATTGTCCACGTGTGATTGCCATGACAACCATCAAGTGTGGGCATGCACAGATGACTTCATAAGGTTGCATGGTACAATACTGAACGTGAATTACGGGAATCGTCGAGGTGGAGACAGGGTTGTGCTGTTCCAAGGGACTGGGTCCTGGAGTAACTGGAAGGTCTATGGAGAGGACCTGCGCGTTTGTGAAAAAAGAAAAGGTATATAGAAGATAAGCGGCGGTCATCTATTGCGCGCTTGCATTATTTTCTGTAGTGAGTTTTGGATGGAAAGTGGTTAGGGCTTATGCTTTAACCTCTGCGACGTAGACGAGTGTTTCCGGTTTGGGTCCACGAAATAACATAGATTTTTTTCCTGGTACTCCACTTCTCCTTTAGGTAATGGTAAATACTCTCCCTAAGGAACTGTTCAGGCTTCCTGCTGTTGTAGTATTACAGCAATAAGGGATGGCCCTTACTAGACCTCTAACAAGAGGAACTTAGAACTGATAGCGCTAACCAGTACATGGCAAGTTTGTGTAGTTCAGGTTTCCCATTGTAAATAACACTGGATTTAATGGATGACCAGTACTTTACCCCTGCGAAGAACAATTCTGAACTGACAGGGCTATGAAGTATAAAAAAATGTTATTGACAACCCACGTTCAATAAGAAATCGAAAACGATTACAAATCTCTTTGTTGTGGACTTATAAGCTTCCTTCAAACTAATATTGTAGATGTTATTGTAACCACGACACCAATGCTACCTACGACTCCTCAACCAACGACTAGTCCATCAACACCAATTAAAATCTCAACAGCGACGCCTACCTTACCAGGTGAGTTTAAATAGATATTCTTTTTAAACTTAACTTAAGCTCTCGAAAAGAAAATATTCAAAACCGTGAAACGCAGCCATTAAAACTTTGAGATGCTAATTCGGCAGCTGATTATATATTCTTCTTTTGAAGATTAAAGAAAATAAAAGTCCTGTAATTAAAAGTTATGTGCGATTTATAAACATTTTTGTTAGTTTTGTACAAAAAAATTACTAAAACAGAAACAAATCATTGTGTTACCTTGACTGTATTGACGTCACCTGGATGCGAGCTAGCATTCAGTCAGCTGCGGCTAATTAGCATGCTTCATGTTGCAAATTGTTTGGGAAATATAATACTTTGGTTAAAAGGAGTAGTAATAGTACAGTATGCATGAAATATTAGGTTGTCAATAGCGGCGGAAGTTGACGTATTCAGTGCGTGAGAATTGCTATTGAAATCAGACATAGGTATGTTATCGCATGCAATGTGCATGTAAAACGCTGAAAAAATTTGCATGCATGCAGAAGATTATTATTATCATTAGTGACTGTTCTTGCCATTGAGAATTGGCTTTACATCTAGTATAATTTACTATTTAGTCTTATGTTGACCTATGTTATCCTAACATCATATTTTAACGGGAAGGCGCCTCGCATGGGTTCTTCAGTCCCGTTCGCGCCTTTGCCGATTGGTAATTTTCAAATGTATTTGTACATATTTATAAATATTAACCAATAAAGTTGTTTAAAAAAAAGGTACAAGACAGTTTGATGTATACATTAAGTCCTGCGCGGGACTTCTAAAACTTGGACCATTTGCCATAGTAGCCTTTCACGCATTATTTATCGCACGCATTTTATGCATGATTGATTTCTTACATATTCTTTATAAAAGTTTTAACATTTATGCATAAAAGGTTAGTAGGTCAAGATTGTTCAAGTTTTATTGGTCGCGCGTTGGACACGGTACTGTGACAGCTCGCAAAACTCATTCTAAAGTTGCAGCCTATTCATTGAAAGTGCGTTTCAAACCATGAATTGAAGTTGACAAGCATTTTGCGGAATTTACAGTTTAGTGGACATTTTAGAACTGTGCACTTGTTATATACCCTGTAGAACTGTATACGAGAAAATATTTTGGGGGCACTTCCTTTTCGTGTGTTGCGTATAATTGCAAATTGGGTACGTACAAACGTTTATTAATTTTTGTATCTGATTATAATATATTTTTATTTCCCCAGGGTTTCAAATTTACAGTGCTGATCACGACAAATGCATATCAGTCAGTAACATTGACGTCATAGCGATGTCATGTGATTTTGATGACGTAAATCAATGGTGGACGTGGACGAATGAAAACCAATTAAAGAACCAAAACCTGAATAAGTGTCTGGATGTGAATGGTAACATTAAAGATTGGGCAAGACTACATATATCTGTTTGCGACCATCTTTCCCTTGGCCAGCTCTGGTCATGTCACCATGATTTGGTTCACGTCATTGGCACGGACTTGAATATGAACTATGGTAACAAAGCAGAGCCTCATATTGTTTTGTATAGTGGTACTGGCCAGTGGAGTCGATGGAAAATCTTTGGCACTTCCGTTAACGTGTGTGAGGCTAAACCAATGATTGGTTTTGACCATGTTGAAGTATTTTGATCCTCGTGATTTCTAGGGATGAAACTTTATGTTTAGTTTGTGTTCAATATATAGACCACAGTAAGACTTTTTTAAATGTTTATTGATTACAACAACCTCGACCAACATTACGGACAAAAACCTAAACTGTCTGTTAAGATTTTAAAAAGAACAAAAGGATCTGTAGAACGGAAAATTACCGAAGCATTATTCATCCAAAAGCTTAATCCAGACTTGAATGGAAAATACGAACAGTTAAATGTCTTAGATTTCGTAGTTTAAACATTAAAGACAGAATTAACAATTTCTAATTTTTATTAGAATTAATCGGACACGGGCACGTAATTTATATGCTTACGCAATTTCGCACGCGCGAATAACGGTCGCAATTTTAACGTTTATGCATGCGCATGTTAGTTTAAATTCAAATTGTAATCCTACCTGAAGATGGAGTAAATCTCCGAAACGTCGTTTGTTAATGAAATAAACATTTAAAAAAGTCTTACTGTGGTCTATATATTGAACACAAAATATACTAATAACATGAGACTTAGGGAAAGTTCGTTCCTAAACATTTTATGTTTAGTTGTTTAAAACTTAGACGCCTTTTTTAATGGTGCCACTAGCCATAATTTGAATTTTGATAGGGAGAATACTTGGGCCATTCTGAAAAGAACATAATCCAATAACGAATGACTCTCAAAGCATTTCTCAAGAAGGCACATTTCTATGAGGTGACTCATCACTTGAAAGATAATGCGTACTAATAAAATGTACAAATTATATTGTGTTTCTACCATAAAAATATATCTCATTTCATTCTCAAAATATTTTGTTAAATCATATTTGGGGCAAGTGACACTTGAAAATTTTTGATGCCCTTGAATTTACCTCAGCGTATAGGATATACGTATCAATTATATATATAATATATAATTTTTGATGCTCTTGAAGCCCCCCCCCCCCCCTTGAATTTACCTCAGCGTATAGGATATACGTATCAATTATATAATTTTCTGTATGTCGGCGGCGTTAAAATTTCTTGTGGGGGGTTAGACAGGGACATCGCCACCGGGGAGTGCAACCGCCCACCTCCCGCCACCCCCAATAATGAAAAGAGTTGGACAAAATAGAAAATACTTTATTAAAGTTGGTCAAAGTTGCAGGTCAAGCTTGGCAAAACTTTGTCAAAGTACTAGTATGAGAACAAAGTTGGTAAAATTTGGTCAAAGTTTGAGATAAAAGTTATGAAATCGTTCCCAATTTTAACAATTTATAATGTTTGGTTATATTTTTGGTCATATTTGGTTATAATATTCGGTCATATTTGCTTATGTTTTATGGAAAAAATGATAAGCTTTGCTAATATTAGTCCGGCGGAAAGAAATGTTAATGAGCCTTCCTATCCTATCGACAACACTCTTGAATTGGGAAAACAATTTTAGGAGTAGGTCAAAACAAGACGACGCCCCCCCCCCCCACCCCACCCCAATGTCGATGTCTTCACGACGTCCCTTGGCTTAGAGCATATAATACTTGTACAGGCAAAATAATAGGAGTGGATTCAGAGTGGCGTCCGTACTGTTGTTATAAAACTTGTGTGCAAATTTAATCTGGATGATCACAATAACAAATTTACGTAAATCCGGATTCATACCCTTCAGAGAACTATAATTTTAATAACTGATCTATCACATACACCACTGATGAATATATGAGTAGTAGCTGTATGTTTGGTGTGTTTCTTCAGCTTCTGGCTAGGTGGATTGTGTTATCTGCTCACCATACTTCCGCTCATCTGGGCTGTCGAAATGGCCATGTTGCAAGACAGAAACGAAAATAAATACGTATGTTTTTTTTTTAAATGACGTTTGGAAATATACTAATATATCAACAGAGAGACCATCCGACAGACAGACAGACAGACAGACAGACAGACAGACAGACAGACAGACAGACAGACAGACAGACAGACAGACAGACAGACAGACAGACAGACAGACGGACGGACGGACGGACGGACGGACGGACGGACGGACGGACGGACGGACGGACGGACGGACTATAACAGACAGACAGACAAACAGACTATAACAGACAGACGGACAGACTATAACCGACAGACAGACAGACTATAACAGACAGACAGACAGACAAACAGACTATAACAGACAGACTATAACGACAGACTATAACAGACAGACTACAACAGACAGACTATAACAGACAGACTATAACAGACAGACTATAACAGATTGACTATAACAGACAGACTATAACAGACAGGCTATAACAGACAGACTATAACAGACAGACTAACAGACAGACAGACAGACAGACAGACAGACAGACAGACAGACAGACAGACAGACAGACAGACAGACAGACAGACAGACAGACAGACAGACAGACAGACAGACAGACAGACAGACAGACAGACAGACAGACGAAACAGACAGACAGACAGACAGACAGACAGACAGACAGACAGACAGACAGACAGACAGACAGACAGACAGACAGACAGACAGACAGACAGACAGACAGACAGACAGACAGACAGACTAACGGACAGACAAACCAAAAGACCGACTTCTCCTTGTTTATTTTCTACGTTAAGCTTTCCACCTTTCCACAGGAATTCAGTCAAAAATTCTCAGAATTGGGTCTAATTCTGGTAATTATCACAGGCCGTTGGCTTTTACCTCGTGGTGAAATAACCAGAGATCAACTTTCTGCGTTGTTGCTTACGTATGTTGGTACGGCCGCTGATATTATGGGTAAGAAGCACCAAGTATTGTGCTACTGTCGTATCACATGGTTTCTTTTGTTCGAATCTTTTAGAGGGGGTAGCCTGCGAACAGGCTCTCAAGCTGAATTGAGAGCCTGCATTGATGACTAATGAATTTGAATATCTGCCCAGTAACGTTCGTTTTTCCTAATATGGAATGTTCATCCTTATATGGTGTTGTTTACAACTTTCGTGTAAACTAAATTTAGACCGTGCAAACTAAATTTAGACCGTACAGTTTATATTGTTTTTCGAAATATAAGATATCCAAGCAAAAGTTTAAACATTTTAAATAGTGTTTTCTCAAAACAGAACATTTCATGCTTTGAAGTCTTTGAGATAAGATGGCCAAGACCAATTTGATGACCTTTCATAAGTTAATGTGTTTTTTTTATGCATAGTGCTTAGCATAGAGCTCAGCGGAAAATATAAATTATAGCATCTGACCAATGAGAATTTCGCGTCATGATTTGAGACGCAGACATGACGCAGATATTCAAATTCATTAGTCATCGATGCAGGCTCTCAATTCATCTTGAGAGCCTGTTCGCAGGCTAAGAGGGGGATCGAATCATTAAAAGGGGGAATCTTTAATTTAAAGGGGGAATCGTTAAAAGGGGAATCTAGCTTTACGTGCGCGGTGTCAGATTTTTTTTCCATGTACAGCTCATTTATTTTATTATGAAGACCAAATGACCAATTTGCGTTTTTTCTGAACAAATGTCCGACTAAGAACTATCACGCAATTGAATATTGTTGAAAAGCTGAATATTTAAAGTGAAAAGTTCTAAAAGCCGAGTTTGAGACGTATATACGGCAGTTTCTGTTTTCTTAGGGGTGTTTATATGCGCGCTACAGGAAGGGGTGGTCCCAGTGGGTGGTCCTCCTAGCTCTAGCGCTATTTGAAATCCTTATTGAAATACGTTTTCGACGCGGCCAGCCCTCCTAAAGGCTGATTTCCACTGTTGCCTTTTTCGTACGCACGTACACGCACGTAAAACTTTGAATCCTTCTATTTTTTAAATACTTTCAATACTATTTTTTGAATACTATTGATAGTGTAACTTCTTTTTCAGTTTCTTGTTTTTATGGTTTGTTCCCCAGATATTTCAATTTGTTTTATATGTAAATGAGTGTGAATATGTCCCCTAATTTATGACGTCACTTTGGTTGCAAGCTCAACTTACACTGGTTATAAATCTATTAACTCCAAAAACTGTACATATCTGTTCGCGTTTTTCTCTAGTGTTTCATCACTTTTACCAGTGAGTGAAGTTTGAAATTATTATCTTCGATGATTGCAGTGATATTCGACCATTTTGAAGAGCTTGCAACCAAAGTGACGTCATAAATTAGCGGAATATTTACACTCATTTACATATCAAACAAATGGAACTATCTCGGGAACAAACAATAGAAACAAGAAACTGAAAAATAAGTTGCACTACAGCTTAACGAGTTCTTTCATTTAAGAAAATAAGAAATTTCGTGTGATATGTACTTTAAAAGTGTTGTTTATCATTGATTTTTATCATACAATTGTACTCGAAAAGTATATTTTACACGATATCCGCGTTTTACCCGGTCAGGGGTCCGTCCGTCCGTATCAGCGTTAACCCAGTCCGTCCGAATCTGCCCTAAACCAGTTAAAACATGAACAGCCGATCTTTATCTGATATTCAAAAATCATTTAATAATTCACGAGGAAAACACAAAGAAAAATCATAAGCGTGTCGTATTATAATATATGATAGTCAGAGATTTCCCTTGATTTACATAAACTTTAACTTTGATTTTTAGACTTACACAATATAATTTTTGAAAAATTGCGTTGCATGGATGGTAACAATGGTCAATCCATTCTGACGATACATAAATTTTAGTTTTCGACAGGCTATTTGAAGTTGGTTAACTATTTTAAATGATCCAGTGAAAGGTTAAACAAAACAGAAAATTATTACATTCACCAAGCAACAGCCAAGATACAATCTAGGTGATCCCCTAACCTTTTTGGCAATTTTTACTCTTACAAAAGTGGTTATTTAACTTATTTTAAAACTATAACGGTAATGGGTCAGCGCCTATTTTATATTAATAAGTTTGTTCCTGGATTTTAACAACAAGCTTGTTGTCTAGTGGTAAAATTTACAGGCTGTGTTTCAAGTCCTACAGAAGCTAGAGAAAATAATTTTAATTATAAAATGTAGAGAAAATAGTAAAGTGAATAAGTTGCGTTAGGCTTCCGAAAACGCGCAAGTGATCTTGTGGTAAAGACTACATGCTGCGTCATTACGCCGTTATTAATTACACAAGCCAGAGAAAAAGGTTATGGTGAATAAGTTGCGGTAGCCTTCCAACAACGAACAAGTGGTCTAGTGGTAAACACTACATGATGTGTAATGTACCTATACCATTGTGGTTCAAGTCCTACAAACGTCATTTTGTGACTTGAAATGTGTCGAATATTATTTACACAAGCTAGAGAAAAAGGTTATGGCGAATAAGTTGCGCTAGCCTTCTAACAACGAACAAGTGGTCTAGTGGTAAACACTACATGCTGTGTAATTATAATGTACCTATACCATTGAGGTTCAAGTCCTACAAACGTCAAATTGTGACTTGAAATGTGTAGAATATTAATTACACAAGCTAGAGAAAAAAGGTTATGGTGAATAAGTTGCGGTAGGCTTCCGACAACGAGCAAGTGGTCTAGTGTAAACACTACATGCTGTGTAATTTACCATTGTGGTTCAAGTCCTATCAAAATCATTTGGTGAAAAGTGTCGAATATAAATTACACAAGCAGGAGAAAAAAGGTTACGGTGAATAAGTTGCGTTACGCTTCCAACAACGAGCAAGTGGTCTAGTGGTAGCGATATCGGACTATAAAAGCCAATGTCGTGTATCAGGATCGGTTCGAGGACGAATGAAAGAATAATAAAGAAGAAAGATGCTAGAAGAAAGAAGAAGAATACAAAAGAAAATGGCGGCTGGGCAAATGTTTGGAGAAGGTACTACCATTGAAATTAATCTTTAGTAGTTACCATGGTGTGGCGCATGCGCGGTAGACTTAGAATATGACAACGTGCGGTGGGAAGGCGGCAGAGGAGGAGGAGGGAGGCCCCCGGGGAGGGGAGCCAGGAAAAAATTTACTAAGTCTTTTTCCTTGACGCTTTGAACAAGATACGTTAAGGTTTTTCCTCATTTTTTTCGGGGAAACAGAACCCCCGAATTTTCGTCTCACTCCGCATACGGCCGGTCAGATCGATTACCTGAGCACAAAGTCTCAACCGGTCTTAGCCAGACTCGATCTTTCCACCATAGCACCCGAAGGCTTTGAGTGGTACCTCTAGACTACTAGGTCTATTGGCGAAAGCTTAATGTTTTCTATCATAGCTAATCCTTTTTCCACTGACAAAGACCAAAAGGTCATTGTCACGTCAGGAAACGATCCTGACTTCACCGACATGCGACACTTAGCCGAGACCACTAGACCATTATGGCTGTTGCTCCTTAGCTGGTACTTTTGATTTTATTTAATCCTTTACTCTCTGAGGTGCACACAAAATTGCAAGGTATATCATGTCTCGCAAGGCAACAAATCTCGCAATATTATTGTTGCAACAACCATTGCACGAATTAGAATTAGATTCTACTTTTTGCAACGATTGCGGCAACGCGTTTCTAAAAGCATTACACAGTGTAACATCTTGCAAATAGTCTCGCAATATTTATACACTGGAATCGTCTTAACATTGCGAGATAACTTCCGATACAATTAAGTTGCTTAGTGTAACACAGCGAAAAGAATATTTTGCTCAGTAGGATCGACCATGGTTTCCAAGCATACGACACTATGTTGAGTCCAGAACACTATCTTGACTGTTGGTTTATCACCGGTACCTTTTTGTACAGCTGAAAAACCAACAGTCAAGATAGTGTACTGGATTAAACACCAGTAGACTGTCAATCTGGCATCAAACGCAAGCACTCGCGGTTTTCAAACTGTGATCATTGCAAGTTGCATGGGATATGCTTGGTGTAACAACCCTTCGAGACAAGTTGCTTAGTGTAACAGCGAAAAGAATGTTGAGCTCAGCAGGGGTCGATATATGACTTCCAAGCATACGACATTGTGTTGAATCCAGTACACTATCTTGATCATTTCAGTGTATAAATATTGCGAGAATAGTTGCAAGAGGGATGTTACACTCTGCAATGCTTTTAAAAATGCGTTACCGCAAACGTTGCAAAAAATAGAATCTGATTCTAATTGGTGCAATGGTTGTTGCAACAATAATATTGCGAGACTTGTTGCCTTGCGACGTATGATACATCTTGCAATTTTGCGTGCACCTCAGAGAGTAAAGGGCTAAATAAAATCAATAGTACCAGCTAACGAGCAACAGCCACGACGGTCTAGTGGTCTCGGCTAGCTAAGTGTCGCATGTCGGTGAAGTCAGGATCGTTTCCTGCCATGACAAGGACCTTTTGGTCTTTGGAAGGGGTACGAATTAATTTATACGGTAGAGAAAAAGGATTAGCTATGCTAGAAAACATTGAGCATTCGCCAATAGACCTAGTAGTCTAGAGGTACCACTCAAAGCCTTCGGGTGCTATGATGGAAGGATCGAGTCCGGCTAAGACCGGTTGAGACTTCGTGCTCAGGTAATCGATCTGACCGGCACTATGCGGAGTGAGACAAAAATCGGGGGTTCTGTTTCCCCGAAAAAAATGAGAGAAAATCCTGAAGTATCTTGCTCTAAGAGCAAAGCAAAAAGACTATAATTAGTAAATTTTTCCCGGCCCCCCTCCCCTTCCCACACGCAAGCTGTCATATTCTAAGTCTACCGCGCATGCGCCACAACATGTTAACTACTAAAGATTAATTTCAATCATAGTATCTTCTCCAAACATTTGCACGGCCACCATTCGCTTTTGTATTCTTCTTCTTTCGTCCGCCATCTTTTTTCTTTATTATTCTTTCATTCGTCCTCGAACCGATCCTGATACACGACATTGGCTTTTATAGTCCGATATCGCTACCACTAGACCACTTGCTCGTTGTTGATAGCCTACTGTAACTTATTATTCACTTTAACTTTTTTCCTAGCTTTAATATTCGACACATTTCAAGTCACAAAATGATTTTCGTAGGACTTGAACCACAATGGTATATTACACAGCATGTAGTCTTTACCACTTGACCACTTGCTCGTTGTTGGAGGCCTACCGCAACATATTCACCATAACCTTTTTCTCTGGCTTGTGTAATTAATATTCGACACATTTTAAGTCACAAAATGACTTTTGTAGAACTTGAAACACAATGGTATATTACACAGCATGTAGTCTTTACCACTAGACCACTCGCTCGTTGTTTGAGGCCTACCGCAACATATTCACCATAACCTTTTTCTCTAGCTTATGTAATTAATATTTGACACATTTTAAGTCACAAAATGACTTTTGTAGAACTTGAACCACAATGGTACATTACACAGCCTGTAGTATTTACCACCAGACCACTTGCTCGTTGTAGGAAGTCAAACGCAACTTATTCCCTTATTTTTTCTCCAGCTTGTATAATTAATATTCGACACATTTCAAGTCACAAAATGACTTTTGTAGAGATTGAACCACAATGGTACATTACACAGCCTGTAGTATTTACCACCAGACCACTTGCTCGTTGTTGGAAGCCAAACGCAACTTATTCACCTTATTGTTTTGTAGTTTGGAAATTAAAATTCGACACATTTCAAATCGTAGAATTACTTCTGTAGGACTTGAACCACAATGGTACATTACACAGCCTGTATAGTCTTTACCACTAGACCACTTGCTCGTTCTCGGAAGCCAAACGCAACTTATTCACCTTATTTTTTTCTCGAGCTTGTATAATTAATATTCAACACATTTCAAGTCACAAAAAGACTTTTGTAGAGCTTGAACCACAATGGTACATTACACAGCCTATAGCATTTAACACTAGACCACTTGTTCGTTGTACGAAGCCTAGCACAACTTATTCACCTTATGTTTTTCTCTACTTCTATAATTAACCATTTTCGAATCACAAAATGACATCTGTTGGACTTGAACCACAATGTTACATCACATAGCCTGTAGACATTACCACCAGACCACTTGCTCATTGTTGGAAGCCAAACGCAACTTATTCACCTTATTTTTTTTCTAGCTTGTATAATTAAAATTGTAATCGTAAAATTACTTCTGTAGGAGTTGAACCACAATGGTACATTACACAGCCTGTAGTCTTTACCACTGGACCACTTGCTCTTTGTTTGAAGCAGCCATTTTATTTTTGTTCTAGACGCAACTTTGAACTTCAATGTTAACAATTTACCTGAAGTGTAATAATTACAACAAAACTTTTTGTGATTGATTTGCACTGTCATACTAAGTTTCAGGACTTTTACGAATTTTGGAAAAAAACCCTTTTTAAAGCTCTGGGACTGGATTTCTGGCGTTTTCTCGGCAAATTCGCAATTCGTAAATTGACTGTATTTAAAAAAGGTCATAATTTCACAAAAATGATTACTTTATTACGCAAATTTTAACTGATAATGTCAAATTTTAACTGAAATTTACCAGATTTTTGCCTGAGTTTCACAGTTGGATGTAACTACAAATTAGACTCTTTAATTAGTGACCGGTCATAAAGTATGTGTACTAGGGGGTGGAGGGTATTCCAAAATCTAGGAGAGGATCGAAGTACTCCAGGAGTGAGACAGGCTAATCAATGAAATGTAAATTCTCGCGTGCATGATCGATAGTGCGGTAAAATCTCACGGTTTGCCGGTGATCCATGTATTAGTTTAAATTCTCACTAAAAACTCTCTTTTCTAGAATTGTTTGAAGTGTTCGACGACAAGAAAGAGCTACGTCTAAACCATGATCTCTATATCGCTGTACTATGTACATATACCTGGAGTGTGCTTCAGTTTGCATTCGTCAGGACCGCCACTGCAGAGACTGTGGCAGACCATGATCCTTTGCACGAGACAAAAAAGGAAGTTAAAAATATGAGAGGAAGATCGGTGAGTGTTGTTTTTTATTTTCAATTAAACACCATGTAAAGTCCGTAATGTCAACAAACGCTTTGTTTACATTTTGAACTCAGTGCTACAGTTGTAAAATATGATTAGATATATATTATACTGAATTTTTAACACTCTTCTGGTTCGCTATGCTTGTAAATGAATACAGACTAGAGATTCAATTCAAGAAAGGTAAAAAGATACGAATTAAGTATTAATAAGATTCCAACGGTCGGGTCCCGACCATTGGAATGTAAGCCTGCGCTGAACGTATGCGCAGAACAGACTTTACATGGTCATTAAAGGTATATTGTGTGATTATTACAACATAGCTACAAGTATAGCAAAACATTTCTTGGCTTCGTTGTGACAAGCAACAGGTATAGAAAATTCCAAAACAATCACAAAACCCAGGATGCTACTACAGGCTTAAACCTTTTCTATTCCACTTTCTATTGTAGGGAACTTTAAGCCAAACCGCGAGCAAAGAACACGAAAATCCGAACAAGGTGTCCTTGAATCGTTCCATGCCAAAATACCTTCACAAACTGGTGAAAAAATCTCGAGCACACAACCAGAAAAGATTGCTTAACGCCTACAGACTCGACTACCTAGACGACGAGGAAATTCGAGCAAGAAATAAATTGATCATGAAATTACGTGAGATACGACTCAAGGAGCTACAGAAAGCAAAGAAAAGTCGTTTCCATGGTGATTTGTACAATATTCTCGTGGGAATTTTCATGATGGATGCACCGTTTCTTATACTACGTTTGATTATGATATTTAAGTTCAGTGTTACAACAGACCTTCACTTGTTGTTCACAGGCAAGAATGCAGTCGGGGTTAGCTTGCTTTTCTATAGATTGTGTATTCTTACCTGCGCGTATAAATAGAGTTTGGAATTTGGATGCAAGAAAAGACGTTATTTGAGCGCGTTTTAGCCATTGAACTATAAATAAACTGGAAGGCTAACTGCTATGATGAATGCCTATGATTTGATGAAGCCAAAATAGTTTTTCTGAGCCATGAGCAGAAATACTTGACCCCAAACGTCGGGCTATATATCAAATTGAAGCTATTGAAAATTGCTATTCGGTGTGGAAATTTCAAGACTTCAGCGAAAAGAAAAATATTTAAAAAATACAAAAACAACTGCAAAACGGCAAGATTATCGGTAATTATGTTTGTAGTTTTTCAATATTTCCCTTTTAGCTAAAGTCTTGAAATTTCTACACCAAATAGCGTTTTTCAATAGCTTCAATTTGATATATAGCCCAACGTTTAGTGTTGAGTATTTCTGCTCATAACTCAGAAAAACTAAAATGCACTGGCTTCAATCCCCCCCCCCCCCTGAGTTAGTCTTCCAGTTTATTTATAGTTCAATGGTTTTGGCACGTTAATAAGGGTGTATAAAAAACCACACAGTTCGAAAATGTTCGCTAAACTGTAAATTCCGCAATATTTGTAAGAACGTCAACGTATATTCATTGTTATAATTTAAGACAGACTAACTTTCGTAATATTGGTCGACTTGTGGTTCCGACATTAGGATATATTCCGTTAAATGTAAGAACTGAAAAATAGTGTATAGCAGTTGAAGAGTCAAAGACTTCACAATTACATGTAAATACCAAGGATTTCCCTATATAAAGTATTCATTTCAAGTGTTGCATTTTACTCGACACTTTAAAATTTTGACCTATAATTTCTATTATATTTGCCTTATTTGGACAAATTGGAATATTGATGTTACCCATGAACGTCGTTTAAAACGCTTATTGCAACGAATTTTTTATGATTGCAATTTTTATGATTGCATTGTGAAGAAAATTCGCCATGACTAGTGAGATATTTTGCGAGCTTTCTTCGCTTCTTTCTTTCTTTCTTTCTTTCTTTCTTTCTTGAGATATTTAATAGTGTTTGATACCCAAATCATCTTCACTATGACGTTAAATGGTGACTTTCTGGAAAAACTTTTATTTATTATACACTCACGCGCATTTAACCAATCAGTAATCGTTGAGAGGGTCACGTGCCGATCCAATATTTTACGATATTGGACAGGAACATATTGGACAGTTGAGACTGATTGTGGCTTTTTTCATGGCTTTTCAACCCTTTTCAGATATTTTGTCAATTTCAAACATACGACAAACGATATGGCAGAATAATGAAAAGACTTTGGTACATTAATACAGTTTTTTTCTACCAGTTTTGTTTAAAATTATAAAAGCGCGGGAAAACTTGTCTTCGCGAAATTTATTTGTTTGCAACAGCCTAGAAGTTAGTAATATTATTTTTTTCGTTAAAATTAGGTCAAATTTCGTTTAAACATACATGGAATTGAGTTTATTTATGCACACATATTTGTAAAAACAGGTTTATTAACTTTTTTTTATTATTTAAGCAAATTCGCCGCCGATATATGTAGTAATGTTGTCGCTGTATTAGTCTCGCTGTAGTTACTTTATCGCTTATTGACAATTTTTGTTATAGAATTGTTTTGTTCGATATAATAAAACTCCTATTGGATTCATCTTCGCCCAATATGGCAAAATATTAAGTCTCGACTTCAATATTAGGCTCGACCTTCAGTCTCGCCCAATATTGAAGTCTCGACTTAATATTTTGCCATATTGGGCTCAGAAGAATCCAATAAGATATAATATAGATAACTAATACAAATTTGCCGACATAACTCATATGTTGTAATAGTAGTATGTAGACATAACTTATAATACGAACGGTTTTAAAGTTATTATGCAATGTGATATGTCATTTGCTTAGGGACCGGTCATTATTTATGGAAGGGGGGGGGGGAGGGGAATTTTTTCTTTTCTAAATTTTTAAAATTGAAAGCCCCCCCAAATGGCAGAAATTTAATGATGCCCCCCTGCATATTAGAATATTTTTCTTTGACCCCCCCATTTTCATTTTTACTCGTCAAATGGGGATACCCAGGCTTATGTGTTAATTATTAAATAAGAATATGGAACTGGCAAGATATTAACTCGACAAAAATATATATTAGCAGAAAATTTAATTAAAGAGGAGTATTTTTATATATAACACTAAAAGCGATTGTATTGTCATAGCAGCTGCGCGGCAACAATGAGAGTAACAATCAGTAACATTAGCAGCAAAAGGAGATAGCAATGACAATTCTGCCAAGGCATACCTACGAAATACAATGTATAGTGGTCTATACATCCTATTTTATATGAGATTAAAAATTAGATAAAATAAAATGATATATACTACATATACTACTTAGACCTGCCAAGTTCGGAAGATAAGAATGCGTGACCTGGGCCGTTGCGAGGACTTTGCCTTGGGGGGGGGGGGGAGGTTAGATTTACCGCCTGAATTATTTCAATTCACCTGACCATCGGAAATAGCATTTTTAGAGTCTTTCCTACCCACGATTTCAATGTTTTACTACTGCCTAACAATGAAGATAACTAAAATAACTACTGATCAATATGACAGTGTTACTTACAGTTTAATGTGACCAGGAAAATTGAGAAAATTTTAGAAATTTGGAGTCTCCAGATCGTCAGAAAGCATATTTGGCCATGTACCGCAGGCCATGATGCATCTGCGGACGCTAATTCTAACGTTGTTAATTCTACTTCTACTATCTTCAATGAGTTATTGTACGAAAAGTGGGATAGCGTCATATAATGGTAAAAATGCGTAACTTTAAGATCATTTTAGTTATGCGTGCGGGACAGCGGGAACAAAAGCAGAATGCGTAACTTTCACGCGAAATGCGGGAACCTTGGCAGGTCTGACTACTAGAATGAACATGGGTGGGTGGGTGGGTGGAGAAAAGGTATCGAAGCGCTAACCTTGCTGCAGCTAGGCAAAGCATACAATGGCAGAATGAATACCCAGACCGAAGCGCTGATCACAAGGCATCAAACAACCCCCTTTGATTGATATGACGTCACAGACTCCCCTCAGTGGATGTGGCCTGCATAATACATCCGCTGTTAACCTTGCTTAATTTAAATGTATTTACCAACATCAAGAGCTGATGTAATATAAATAATACATTGTCAATTTAACTAGTCTGCAACCCGTAAAGACTGATTTGCATACAGCACACACAAGACAAGATAAATCCAGACTATTTCACATCAGTGACCATGATTTAGTTGCAACATTTACAACGAAATGGATACCATGCAAGTTATTAATTTAAGCAAATTCCTTCAAATTTAATTGCACCCCCCCCCCATCATGTTCTTGAAAAAAATTAATAGCCCCCCCTTCTAGTCATTTATTTCTACATATGGCCCCCCCTTATTTTTTCCCTCCCCCCCTTCCATAAATAATGACCGGTCCCTTATCGAAAATTGTTAAATATCTCAAGAAGAACGCAAGTATCTTATTTGATCAAATTTGTCTCACGCATGATTGATTTTACGCATGATTGATTGATTTCTTACATACTCTTTACAAAAAGTTTAACAATTGTACGTGAAGGGGACAAGAAGGTGCACGTTTTAAAAGTTGCGCGTTGGACTTAATGTACATCAAATTATCTGGCACTTTGGTTAGTCATTAATTTGCATCCTGCGAATGCAAATTGCGTTTTAAGCCTTCCATTGTTGTGCGCAAGCCATTTTCAAAGCGGTTTTTAAAAATACATGACTCCCAATTTAAAACTTGCTTGCTGCTGGTTTCATATGCCATGCACTGTGTCTTAAAATGTATAAAACTATTGATTTTAGTTGAGCCATGCAACTTTTTACTTATACATAAAGAGACAAGAAGCGTCGATGAAGTTTTTGAACTTGGCGGAAATTGTCACACATCCTTCCATTCGAACCTTCCAGCAGACGGAACTCTTGAAGCTAAAAATAAAATATGAGAAAAGCTGAAAACCAGACATGGTACTACAGCACAGTGCCTTGGAGCATCACAAGCGCGATGTAAAGTTCAATTTTCCAACATGGTCTCTTCATTTTTATGATGTATATCATCATACGGGCATACTTAAATCTATGATGTACATCGTCATATTTGTGCTCATTTTAAAGTTGCATATATATTTAAAAGGGAGGCAGACGTGCAGGGGTGGGGAGTTTTTCATTCCCCCCCCCCCTCAGGGAGAAGGGTTAGGTGCCTGTGGTTAGGAGGAGTTAGAGTCAGGTTATCAATGTGTCAGTATGATGATATACAGGGTGTCTAAAAAAACGCTATGGAAATTCAACAGGCTGCCGTGCATCATAAACATGCCGGCTAAACAATTCAAGTTTACATAGGACGAAAGAACAGTTATTTAGCTTTTCAATGATACTCTTTTTAAATCGTAACGATGAGAAATGGCCACATACTCGTCAAATAAATATTGCTGGTCGAAATCACATTCTTCCACCGTTGGGAATTGCATGGAAAACGAAACATATAGACAATTCCCAAAAGGGAATGAAAATTGAATGTTAAATTGAACTCAACTCGTCGATCTTCGTCTTAGTGAGACAATAACTCAATAACAACGTCATTAAACATGGTACAATTAACCCCTGAAAAGAGAACATTCGTAATCAAAACGTTTTACGAAACAACTAGCTTGCAGCAGGCTCGCGTTGCTTTTGGATTGACTAACTTTGCATATAAATTAATGTATTTTCAACTCCCAACGGTGGAAGAATGTGATTTCGACCGGTAATATTTATTTGACGAGTATGTGGCCATTTCTCATCGTTACGATTTAAAAAAGGTATCATAGAAAAGCTAAATAACAGCTCTTTCGTCCTATGTAAAAATTGAATTGTTTAGCTAAGTTTATGATGCACAACAGCCTGTTGAATTTCCATAGCGTTTTTTAGACATCCTGTATATCATATACATGAAAGTGTACCTGAATGATGACACACATAATTTCGATACGACTGCATCATGATATACATCATAAAAATGAAGAAGCCATGCTGAACTTTCATGGGCGTGTACACAAAGGCCAACGTGGACTAAAAACTGCCAAGCTGGACAGTTACAGCTGATCAGCTACAGCTCAGCCAGCGTTGGCATGCAAAGTGACATTAATGGAAAATGGCCTTAATGCGACAACATGCAGCCCGATTTCTAAATTACAGGGCCAAGTTCGATTCCTATCAGACGGCCTATAGTATTTTTTCCCCAACTGCCCCTGGTTAGGTCTAAAAAATGTGTAAAAATTACAGTCGAAATTTGCACTTACAAAACGCATTAACATTTAAATCTTGTATGACGGAACGTTCACTAAGCCGCGTTTTGATAATTCTGTGTTAGAATAATTAGGCCATAGGTTTAGTAAAATTTTTTTAATAACTACATTTTGGAGTTTAACTCCATTTTCAGGTTAATTTAAAAGTGACTAAAGATATAAAAACTTCAAAATCGTTACAAATTTGTAACTGTTATTTTATGTCTTTATAGTCACTTTTAACCTGAAAATGGAGTTACACTCTGAAACGTAGTTATTAAAATATTTTTTTACCAAGTCTATGGCCTAAGTATTCAGTCAAACACAGAATCATTAACATCTAGTTGTAACGAGTGCATGAGATGTCCAAAATCCTATAAATATCTTTTGCCATCTCAAAAACTACCAAGCATATAGCTTTATTTAAATAAATAATTGGGTGGGTATAATTGCTCCCCTCCATTTTAAGGAATTCTGAAAATGCCTTGAAAAGGCACTGCTATACCACGTACCTGTTGTTTGGTGATAGCAATAGGACTCTTCATGACAAACCATCTCACGCTTTCATAACAAGGTGGAGTTGTGATTGATCCTTTATATGTGTAATATTTCAGTTTATTTTCTGCCAGTTCTGGGACTAAATATGATAGTCGTACTCCCTTCTTTAAAGATACTTCATCACCTTAAAAAACAATATTTGCAAAAATACCTCAGTTAGAAATTCCCTGGCATTCTTCTGTCGTGGTCTACTAACCATGCGCTCTAGTTATTTCAGTCCTAACCACGATGTCATCAAAACCGCCGTTAAGTTAATTTCAGTCATTCGATCTTAGTGAACTCTAAAAGGACTGGAACGATAACTTGACCGCCATCTTTGAAGTTAAATTGAAGGTCGTCATGTAGGTATGGAGTGAAAAATACGCCGCAAAAAAGCCATCGGTTTTCGCACACTAAATAGCTGTATTTCAACAAGGAAAAATGAATGCTAAAAGTTATCAGCAATACTTGAAATTTAATACAAAACATGTTTCAGGAACGAAGAGTAGTTTTATAGTTATTTTCTCAGGAGTCAAAGTGCGAAGTTCTTTTCGGCACTTAATATAATATTTTGAATAGGAAACTGTTACCAAGAAAGTTTTTGCTGTTAGGGAATGTAAAATACTTACAACTATCCGGGAAACCGGTTTGAATCTTTAAAATTGAAGCTTTTTGATAAAAATGTACTTTTTCTTGCTATTTTTTGCCCAAAACAAACTTTTGATTGAATTTCCCGCTCCTCGAAACTCTCCCCGGTCCTTTTAAAAGTAAATTTATCCCGCGCGGCTCCTGCGCTTGGCTACAAATTTGGCTTCAACCAATCATAGCACTTGATCACTGGAGTTAACGTTCCAGTTTACCTAGCTAGAGTTCACTGTTCGGCCTATAAGGAAAGTGAAGCCTAGAAGGTGAAATTGACTTCCACTGGCTATGAAAGTCGTAAACAGTTTTAATACCATTTTTCCAGGTTTTTCTAAAGGACCATATCGCTAACCAAATTATCAGTTCATAAAACGATAGTCTAATGATATCATTCTAATGGAAGTCAAAATACGAAATTTCGGCATACTTCTTGCAGACCGCATTTACAAAAACAATAGAAAAGGTATTGGACCCGACGTCCAATAGCTCCATCTTAGCTTTGCTCCCTGAAAGTTTAAATCCATTTAAAAGACAGAATTTAGCTTAGTGTATGATTTCGAGTCTATTTGTTGAAGTAATTAGTACCTATACTGTATATAAAATTTAGAAAGATTTTATACTTTTCCTAGAAAGCAGCCTTTAATTAGGTCAAATATAAAAATAAGATAACGGGCTACACGCTTAAAGGTCTTCTTCAAATGAAACAAAAAGAGAATTTTTGTTGCTATTTCCCTTACAGTTGTGCCAACAGAAGCGTTCCGAAAGATGTTGACCAATTCATTTCCTAACTTGAAGGAACACCTCTGAACAATTCCTCAACAATTTGATAAGTTCCTTAAAAAGTTCCTAACTTCCTGTTTCATTGACCAATCAAATTTTATATTTTATTTTTGAGCAATCTGATTGGTCAATGAAGCAGGAAGTTAGGAACTTTTTAAGGAACTTATCAAATTGTTGAGGAATTGTTCAGAGGTGTTCTTTCAAGTTAGGAAATGAATCGGTCAACATTTTTCGGAACGCTTCTGTTGGCACGACTGTAATGAAATGATTACGCAAAATGAACATGAAAAAGGGCACCATATATACCTGATTCTTTTATTTGGCTCAAGTGTGTAGTGATATCTGTGAGACCTCTGTTGTAATTAAGATCACCCTTGGAACAAAAACAACATCCACATTTGTATAAATCGCACTTCTGGACCCTTTTCATCTGCACAGCTAACCGGGTAGCTGACCTAAGTGAGATGTGCACGTCTTGTGCTGACGCTTATATAAAATTCAATTTGTGTTATTCATGTGACGAACGAGGCATTCTGGCCAGATGAGGTCTCATGCACCTTGCGCTATAGGCGGTCTCTCAGTCGAGTGAATAAAATTTTCCATACGAAGGCTTTATAACCACCTGCTCGGGATAGGATTTTTTTGCCGATTTTACCTATTATGCATAATAGTAAGGAACGGCATAGTTGGAAAATACTGTAGCAAAACATGCAAGGAGCAGTTTGTTTAAATATGCTGTAAAGTCCAAACGCTTTAATTGTTTACATTTTGAACTCAGTGCTACAGTTGTAAAATATGATTAGATATATACGGTAGTATACTGAATTTTTAACACTCTTCTGGTTCGCTGTGCTTGTAAATGAATACAGACTAGAGATTCAATTCAAGAAACTCAGTTCGGAAGGTGCGAAATATTAATAACATTCCAATGGTTGGGTCCCGACCATTGGAATGTAGGCCTGCCAAGAATAGACTTTACGGCATCTTTAATTAGAACAAAAAAAGATTTTGAAGACGCCATGTTTGTAAGAACGAACGCCAGCTTAATTTAACAAGAGAGCTTGTTAGAGGTTCAGGATATGTTTCTTACCCCTAAGAGCACAGCGAGTATAACAAGACCATCTGTCTTGCTCATTGCTCGGTCTAACGTTCGATATTGATCCTTGTAGAATACAAGATGGATCTAAAAGACAAATTCAAAAGTTGTGAAGCTCAGCGTCTTTCTCTCAAAGCCTTGAGGAAAATATCTATCGTGTTTTATATTTTTAACCTCGCAAGGAACAAATCTCAACGTCTGCGGATGTTGCGAACTTAGCTGAGCAGCATGAATTGACTAGACAATGAAGTCTAGATTTATTCATTACGATCAACCGACTTTATTAATCATTGTTGATGATGATCATTAATCGATTATGATAATAAACCGATGGAAGTAATTCTATGTAACTCTACAATTCGATAGCTATCTCAACAAAAAAGGTTGTATGATGGCTCATAGAAGATTTACGGTATTAGTATTACAACATACCTCTCCGGGCGTAGGCACGCCATCAAACTGGTGCTCAGATCCAGCCCGCTCAGTACAACCAAATCTAAAGTATATCTTCTTGAGGATATATATGTCCTTGCGATGATTGGGAACATTCGTGAGCTGTGCTGAAGCACGAGAAGCGTTCACTGTAAACACTGGTGAATGGCCGTTATTTTTTAAATCGCCATAAACCTGACCATTCTCAAGCGTGAATTGCACTGAAATTTTGGAGCGGTTACGTTTTTTTCGTGCTCGACCGTGTTTGATGTTGATTGGAGATTGACGCAATCCAGAACACATCTTCGAAATGTTTTTCCAAGCATCAACACCGTACACTGAAAAATATTATTACCAATTATTTGAGGTCGTTTATACTAATCGAGCGACAAAGCTTCCTACTGTACACGCCTACACGGCGAAAATCAATCAGGTTGCTGCAATACTTGATGAAAACAGGATTGAATATAATGGATTGAATATAATCTGCCCAACAATACTGAACAATATTGTTACACCCGATTCAGACTCAACAATATTGTTCGATATTGTTGACAAGTGTGAACAACTTGGGCAGCAAAACATTGTTCAATCCTGTTAAACTACGTTTGCACGTTGCGATTAATCGTGTACGATTCGTTTTCTGGCGTATGTCATTGAGTATAGGCACGCGTGAGCTGGCTACATTTGAAATTTCTTCTTAACGAAACGGTAATGAATTATGGGGCCAGCACTCATTTTAATACGCCAGAATACAATCGTACACGACAAATCGTAGCGCGCAAACGTAGCTTTAAACAGCAGGCTCAATTTACACTATCTGATTGGCCAAAATCTCGGCTCGTTCCCCGGATGCAAAATCTCGATGTTTAAGTGGAGCAAAGAAAATGAAACTACTTTGAAAACATCGAAATTTTTTTTGCATATAGTCCTCCCGAAAAGGAGGACATGTACTGCGTAACATGTACTTCATGTAATCACAATTATAGAGATTTCAGTGTAGGTTAATGATGCGAGAATATAAGCATTGCATTGAAGACACAGAAGGAAGATAAAAACATGTATTTTAGAATGCATACCTTGATCATTTGTTTTGCCATATCCCCATGGTGGAACATCATCAACGTTTTCTAAGTCATCTTCACCTGTGGACGTTCAAAGACATCAGAGAAATTAGATTTCTGCAGTCATGGCCAGGGGATAGACGAGAGTTTCGCACGTGTCCGAGTCATAGATATCTTATATACACTAGATAGCGCATCTCTTTTAGTAAAATTGAAGCCAAGAATATTCCAGCGGTTACCCCCATTTGAATAGATGGCGGCCATGTTGGTCGTTCCCACTTGCTAATAAACGCTTAAAAACAATAACTTTCAACATTTGAATATTTTAAAAACGTATTTGGAATATGGTTAACTTAATGTTTAAGCTCCGTGTTTAAGAAATAGAAAACATACGAATCTTTTCATTTCATTTCATGGGAACGACCTGAGACTGCAATCACGGCTTCAATTTTTGAATTGCAGAATAATTAGATGCACTATCTAGTGTATATAAGATATCTATGGTCAGAGTGCACCGAGTGGCGACCACCACAACAATTTGGATGGAATGTAGCCAGAGGTGAATTTCACCCTTATTTGTCAACTTCGTTAAGAATTTCAGTCCATTATTTGTCACACATCATTTGTCACACCTTTATCACTTCTGTGAGTTTGGTAACTGCTTGTGCATTTTTTTGCAATCTAAAGTATCATGTTGTCTGCACATGTACTTTCTTTGGAGACATCATTTGCCTCCTGATAAATCAAAAAATGATCAAGATAATGACTCTGATTGATTTACACATTGTATTGTATTGACATATGACCATTGACACTGGTTTTACATCTTCAATATTGAGTGAGTGGTGATTTGGAAATGACAATAATTGTTTTCATTTACGCAAGAATTTAGACTAAGAAGGCGTTTCCCCTAATTGTGCAAGGGCTCGCATTTGGGGACATGGAAAACTCCCGTATAATTATAGCCTATACATATAATTCTGCCGAAGAATTAGATATGATCCAAGCTATAGGATGGTTTCACTTCAAACTATATGCATTAACTCAATCCAATGCATGGGCAATGGCTTCACATACATTGGGCATTCCAATTGTGCAGGTATATTCATCCTAAAAAAATCTTAACTAAATTATAGATCAATCAAGATTGAGAACTTACCTCTCGAGCTCGGCAGAACTGCGATAATGCTGACAACAGATATATTAAAAGCGATACAAAATAATCGCATTCTATACAAAGCAAAGATGAAAATCGATCATAAGATGAGAACGGATAGTTCGTAAAACAGCAACTAATTTGTATAATTGTGTTGTAGTTTTGTTTGTGGGGATTTTCATATATACCTGCTACCAAACAAATTTGTCACAATTATATTTACTGATGGACAAGTATATTATGTATAAACATTAAAACTCAAAAGAGCCATGATATGACGGCAAAATATACGCACGGGGCTTGCATCTCAATTAACTTAAAGATAGAGCACCGTAGTTCCCTATACAGACGAACAAGTCTTCCTTGACAAGTTTTTCTAGACGACCGAACTTTTCCTTGCCAATTAAGAAGCCTTGTTACAAATTAGCTTGTCATGCCAGCTTCCGTAAAAGGAATATTTGTTGTTCGTACGGCCGTTAAGGAAAACAAGTGTACAAGAAATACTTTTAGTTTTACGATTTTGACAAACAAAAAATGGCCTTTTAATCAGATAAATCGCGGTTTCACAACACTCCGTGAACACGAGCAATAAAACTTGTCAAGGAAAACTTGTTGACCGTACACACGAGAAGGTAACCTTGTCATGGACGGAGCTTAATTCTTTCAATAAGGCTGCCACGAAGACCGAACATGTACGTCACTTTGCCGACAAGACCACGACAGGACAGACAATTGTTGAACAAACTTTTCAGGTGTTTCCAAAATAATCCATATTAGCATTTCGTGCAATTTGCATGATCGGTCGCTCACCTCCGTATCCTTGCACCAGTCACCTCCGGACAAAACAAAATGGCTTCCCGTTTCGTCCTGGTTACAGGCAAACAAATGTTTGTACTAAACAAAGCTGTGGTTTCGTCAAACAAAGCCACGAAGTTTTGTTTAACATGTGTAGAGGTATTCTTTAACACTATTTCTAATGAATATCATTACTAAAATCTGTTTTGTTTACAATTAATATGGATTATGGGAGCTGTAAAATTTTATATATAGATTGTTTTAAAAATATTTTCATTGTTATTTGCTCGCTTTTGTTTTATGCCTTATGGTATATCATATATGCTAAAAGATTATCCACCCTTGTGTCGGTGAGTATTGCTAGGATCACACTCCACTTCGGCGAATGATTGTTAAATATTTGTCTTTTCAAATAGAAAGAAAATCCGGAGTGAAAACTTCCTTGGTGTTTTGCCGAAGACTTGTTTTGGTGTTTTATTCGAATGCCAATTGACAGAACTTGGGAATGGCCTTCTTCAATCGTTGCCCGATAATGTACTTCAATTTTTCTATTTGCTACATCACAAGCATCCCAGCCAGGCAGATTAAAATATTTCCGTTATCATATAGGCATAGTCAATGTGTTGCATGTGCTACATGTCAATTTATTGAAATTCTATGCAGTTTATAATTTTATACGATCGAAAGAATTCTACCAATTAGATTCGTTTTGAGCGAATTTTCCTACATCAGACACATAAAAACAGGTCTAATGTTTTTGTTTAAAATAATGGACGCAAATTGTTTATAAACTATCGACCAAGACGTCAAATGTCGTAAATATAAATGATTATTTTGTCAAATAGAACTTAACTTATTTCTTACCTTAAACGGGTAAAAATCCCTTTCAAAATATATCTTTCATATCAAGACTTTCATTACTTGTAAAGAATAAAAGGTAGCCTAATTTAAATGAACTCAAATCGACGAACAACGAACTATGAAAAAGTAGCATTAAAGTAACAAAGTCGCTATACGCATGGCTACACTCGAGTGAGTTTTTCAACTCTATGAGCAGGTTTGCAGGTATTTAAATGTAAACATGCAACATACATTTTTTACGTCATTCATCCAGATATTCTCAAGTTGCAACCAATCTCTTGAGAATTGAAAGACAATAAAATGGCGGCCATGTTAAATAAACGACTTGCGCTTTAGACTAAATTTTACTCTAAGTAAGAACAACGAAATCTATCACCACAGCTGGAAAGAGCGTCTTGGAAATAGTAATATTACAAAGTTTGGTTGCGAAATGTTGTAAAATATGGAAAATATAGGCCTTCAAAGTTGGCAAATTTGTATACTTTTGTATTACGTGCGTGAATTGGTAACTAAATTAGTTACCAATTTCCGCACGTAATAGAAATGTATACAAATTTGCCAACTTCGCAGGGCTATATTTTCCGTATTTTACAACATTTCGCAACCAAACTTTGCAGTTTTTCTAATTTTGATAACCGAGATTTTCCGAAGTTGACAAGTCTCTCTTTCTCGCTCCGCCTCTCCGTGCTACGTCATGTAAAGTACACTATAGTGGATCGATATGACAATGAAAGAGAGACTTGGAGCAAGTCTAAATCTGACCCCGCACGCATGTCTGGAGGTCAACACCCGCGTGTTTATGTTCAAAGAGTGAGAATACTATTTTAATGAGAAATTGTCAAAAAATTTTAAAAAATTGCATATATTTAAACAAAAATTCATGCGAAATATATTTCGTCGGCCACATTTTTGGACGAGCCATCTATTCGTATGGTACACATTTTTTCCCATTTTGTGAGCTTTGACTTAACGCTTAGTAAAATTCTGAAAAGTTCATTGAGCTAAAATGCTTTTGCCGATAACCTGTTTTTACTTAAATCCTACCTAATAAAACAAAATAAGTTCTAAATCATATTCTTGAGTAATTTCAGTTCGGTCTTCAAAATTAATTTGCTCTCGTTTCCATTTTAACTACATGCATGATATTGTTGGGAAAACATTACAAACAGCTAACCAAAGTCGTGTGATTGCAACCTCAAATGCATTTTCATTCTCCTTTGATCCTGGCTTATGTTTACGTCACTAAACGCTACTTAACAAAAGAAACGATAACAATTTAGCACAGTTGTTTGCTAGCTGTTCACAATCATGATCTATTTTATCTAAATTACCCTGCACAAGCAGTGTTGTTTGCAACCTATACGTATACAGCCAATTAAAAAAAAGGATGTCCTTTGCAAACCTGAAACTCTAAACCTAAAACTCTAGGCGCGCAAAGCTTAATGGGAGCACAAGTTTGTTCAAGTTAGTAGTTGAATATTGCAGCTATTTATGAATGAATTGTACTCGTAAGGAGATATTTACCATGTCTTTAAGAAATGGACCCCGTGTATGATTTCGAAACTGATTAAATTATGCTTTCATTACGTTTTGCACGCTTAGAGTTTAAGGATTTGCAAAGGACAACCTATTTTGAATTAGCTTTGTAAATCCACCTAACTTATATATTATACATGTACTAATTACATTAACGAGTAGATGAGCAGTTCGTCGCTTTGTAAACGTGCTGGTCTACAAATAGGTTGTCACAAGTCTGTTCACAAGCTGTGGACAACTTGACGTTCGTACTGCTTGTTCCTGGTTGTTGCAACAAGCTTGATGGCATTGTAAGACATCCTGACTTGTAGCAAAGTTGTTCTAACAAGTCTGATACAGTCATGATATAACAAGAATGTTACAAGGTTGATGATGCAAGGTTGTAACAATATTGTTATATCATGACTGTATCGGATTTGTTGGAACAATCTGGCTACAAGTCCGAGATAATATCAACAAGGCTGTTACAAGTTGTTAACAACTTGTTCCAAATTTGTTGACAAATTGGGACTGGTTGACGGCTTGTTGGCAGACTTGTTACAAGATGTGAGATGTTACAAGATTTCTTGCTCACCCTACTGAAAAATACCTCTATTGTCACATCACAGCTACTCGTTGGAAAAACTCGTAAGGGGTGAATATTAAATGGTTGACCCTTACATACGTAGTCTGTGTATCAGGTTATTAAATAAGCTTAAAACTAAACGTGAACAAGAATATCGAGACTACTACAGCATGCTCAGATTCTTTAGAATATACGTCTACTGCTCGTTATGGTTGCATGCTCCTACTTCGCAAACGCCTCAGGTGGGATTTTCCCTTGTGTGTGAAGTGTTTTAAAAACTTCTGCCGCTTTTTGATAATCCCAGTTGTTCTCAGATAACGCTCTAAAAGAAAAACAAAAACAAACACCACCGGCTTAATCTTTTCGTAATAAATACCAAGGTGGTACAGGCCGACCCATTTGTTAAATTGTCTAATAGGAAACCATCTGACATTTTGTCCGACCTAAGTGAAACTAAGGTTTATTGTTTGTCCAGCCCAAGTGTATTGGCGGCGGACTGAACTGTAGCTTTTTGCGACGGAAATAATACCGACGTAATACCCTAGTCCAGGACTAGAGGCTCGTATGTTAAATCGAAAATCAGGGTAATGTATAAAATGTGAACCGGAAATGGTTTTTTTTAATTTAATCGAGCGCGGTGTGGCAAGCGAAATATTGAAGTGGAAAACGCGTCGGGCGTAAGTTGTCGAAGTCTTACTGCTACAATAGGCAAGCAAGTTAATTTTACATGGCTTGAATGACACAAATTATTTAATCACAACATTTAGTTCAGAATGAATACATTGTACTAGCTGATCCTAATTTGTGCATGTCATTCAGATTTATTTCCGAGCCAAACTGAACCGAAGATCATATCGTACATCATCACACATATGTCTGATCCAAACTTAAAGTCATCGGACATTTTGTCAGATGGCCCTGTAAAACATACTTTAAGGTGTAGTAGCGAAGATCTTTGAGCAAAGTTAGTTAATATGTTCAGTCCAGGTCATACTAATGGAAAAGGTTACTCCAAGATACGAGAATTTTCGACTCTTTCGGTGGGTGTCCGCTTAAAGGGGCATGCATTAATAGGGGTTTGCAGCAGTGAACGCAGCAGGAGGTAACACCCAACTTATTTAGGAACAGTAGTGATCAGAGGTAAACAAAACTTACTTGAAAGAATAATTGAAGTTCATTCCAGATTGAGTTGCGAATTGTGTCACCATTTGTTGCTGCTGTAAGGGAATTTATAATTGATATATACAATGTACAGTACTCAGCCACTGGAAAGGGCATTACAAAATTACCAGTGGCGAAGCTACAATCCTGGCAAAAATTATGTGGACACCTAACTTTTCTAACGCCAATATTAACATTGAGACGTTCTTTAATGAAATTTGTCGCCCCCTGCCCCCTATTCAATGTTGTTTCTCGCATTTAAATCTTAAAAGTTTCATTTACCAACATTGAATTGGGTCTAAGCTACCAACCTCGTACCCGGGGCTTTTGCGGTTGTGGCGCTGTTAGAAGCCCGCATGGGATAATCAAAACCGGAACACCAAAGAACATTGGAGATCAGAAGCGGAAGTAAAAAGTTGCTCCATTTAATACATGTGCTATCAAACCTAATCAAACACTTTCTTGACGGTAAACAACAGATTACTTGCACATCAGCAGCAGTAGTGGCTAAATCATTTACATTGAATATCTGGTATAAAATTAAAGAATTTGCCGACTCGTACATTTTGCATGCTCAGTGCATCCCAGATTTAGAGGCACTGAGACAGTGCACCCAACGTCCTCAAATTGGCGATAATTTGAAAATTTAAATCTCATTTGTGTATATTTTATTCTATTCCAATAGAAATGCAATAATAGAATACAAAAAATTATCAAATAAAGGCAATGAAATATTATAAACTATGTAATATTTAAATTGAATTTCGTAGTTTGAACAAGAAATTTTTCGCATTATTAGACTATGTTTAATTTTTACTTTGTTCGCCATTCTTGGTTATCTCTAAATCAAAATAATATACACTTAATGTCTGCACCCGAGGGAAATAGTTAGTTTTGTTTTCCCGAGAATCTCAATGTTTCCCGAGACGAAGTCGAGGGAAACATTGAGATTCGAGGGAAAACAAAACTAACTATTTCCCGAGAGAAAAGACGTTAAGTGTTTTGTTATATAGCGACGAAACAAATATCAACATTGAACAACATTCATACAACAATATTTGTATTTCATGACAAAAACTCTATAGCCTAAACGAGTTTAAAATTTAAAAAACCTACTTAAATGGTTTCAGCAGCATATCATGTTGCCTCTTATGTATTTTTCTTCTCTTTTACATTCTTTATTTTAACACAAAGTCACGAAAACAGTAGTTTAAATAGTTTAAATTTGTGCCGTCATTTTGTTTATTTATGTACGTCGCCGGTCGGGGCGGGCAACAATTTTTCACTTATTGCCCGGGCGGGATACATTGCATTTATCTAAAGCCATGTGATTCACACTAGCTATATAACAATCCATGATAATTTTCGAAATTGATTCCAGCTCAGTATCAGTCGGTCTCAGTCTCCTCATTAAAGGCGGAATGGCTAATGCATTGTATATTTTCATATTATACCTGTGCATTAAGTCCAGCAAGAGGACTTGGGGTAGTTAAAGAACTGACTTGTAGACTGGGCGTTGCTTGTGGACTGAGAGTGGCCATGGGGTTAGGTGACGATACTGGTGTCGCTGAAACTGGGAATAAACTTGGTGAAGCAGCAGTGTTTCCAAATCCCGCCGATTTACTTGCAAACTATGAAAGAAAACGTATATAATATACTATACCCTGTTTGATTTAAAATAGCAGAAAACCTAGAACAACTATCACGATGAAATTTTACGGTACCCAGAAACGGCCTGTGTTTGAATTTGATATATTACAATAAGATTTTCATGCAATATTAAAAAATATTTTAGGTCCAACAAGCAATAAATTGGGGTTGGACTTATTTTTTGCTTCAAATACAGTTTTTGCTATATTTGTAATATTTCCTGATAGGACCACGAATTCTACGCAATGATACTGAAATACCTTAGCAGCTCGACTTAAAAGTTAAAATCACGACTGGATTTTGAAGAGAGGTGCCGGGAGGCGAGACCATTTTGCACATGATAGATCAAAGTGAAAATTTGACTAAAACTTTCACTTTCATGTTTGTTACTAAAATTTTAATTTTTATGTATTGCTTATAAGGTCTACACATTGTAAGAAGTTCAACGTTTTTCTGTAAAATTGAAAAAGTGATACTCATTCATGCCATGCAATATTTTGAAAGAAATTTCTAGTATTATAACGAAATTCGAGTCGTACAGTCGTAGGCTCATACATATACAAAACCATGCAGATCCAATCAACATTGTGATGTTATGCATACTCAGCTAAAACAGATCAATATATAAATAGGTGTATGTGAATAAAAACACAATAGCTTGGGTTGTCTTGGGCTTATCATCCTTTGGTAAATTCAGACACGAATAAAATTATCGCGCGTACACGGCTAAAAACGATCAGATTGTTGCAACAGTTGATGAAAACAGGAGCGAGCGAAACATGAGGATTGAACAATGTTTTGCTGCCCACATTGTTCACAGTTGTCAACAATATTGAAAAATATTGTTGCACTCGATTCAGGCTCAACAATATTGTTCAATATTCTTGACAAGTGTGAACAACGTGGGCAGCAAAACATTGTTCAATCCTGTTAAACAGCAGGCTCAGTGTTTTTACACGTGTATTCAAACATACCTCTCGCTGATCAGCGGTTGGACTTCGTATTGAAAGCTGATCGTTGATAATCGCAATTCTACCAAAGATAAAGTTGAATTATTGAGTGGGCGCATTGATCTGGACTGCATAAGTAAGGGAGCCATGGAGCGACGCCATCTCCATAGTTCACGGGGCTCCACAATCAAACGTCAAAGTTCGTGCTGTAGACACTAGGAATTCTGGAGTTACAAGAGTCTACGAAAACGGTGGGAAAATTAGAATAGAATAAATGCGGGAAAAGAAAAGCTTTACTGTGAGGAAATTTGGCATCGCTTTATATTCGCTGCGTGAGTCTGCTAGTTAGCTATAGTCTGTTAATTTCTATAATCTGCTAGTTTGTTGGTGTGTTAGTTTGTTAGTCTGTTATTTTGTGAGTCTGTTAATTTGTGAGTGTGTTAATTTGTGAGTCTGTTAGTTTGTTAATGTGTTAGTTTGTCTGTTAGTTCGCAAGTCTGTTAGTGTGTTACTTTGTCAGTGTGTTAGACTGTTATAGTCTGTTAGTTTGTGAGTGTGTTAGTTTGTGAGTCTGTTAGTTTGTGAGTATGTCAGTTTGTTAGTGTGTTAGTCTACTTATTTGTTAGTTTGTTTATTGTTCGTTAGTTTGTGAGTCTGTTAGTTTGTGAGTCTGTCAGTTTGTTAGTGTGTTAGTCTGTTTGTTAGTTTGTTGGGATCATAAGCCTTGGTATTTTTTATTTGTGGTGCACTTGTTTTACGCAAGTACTATTTCTGTTTTCATCCCCTTTTCCTTACACTCAAGTAATTTTCTTTACACATTTAGAGCTGTTATAGCTTCTTTAAGACAATACTACAATATCGTTTAAAACAAATTATACAGAAGAACCACGGGCATGAAAAAGGCGGACTCGACCGCCAAATGGACAGCGTCTTATAATGATGAAAGTGCATGAATGTTCACTTACGAATTTCCCTGGGAAGGAACAGCAATGAAAGCTCGGGTGAATGCTCTTAATTCTTCTGTACTTCCTATAGAGAAAACAAAAAAAAGAACTGTTACAAACGGAACGCAGCTTTGACAGTAACGTGCATGTGGCAGTCTGACAGAGATCTTCACGGCTCGTTTCATGAAGAACATATCCAATCGTGTTTTGATAAGCGAAACATGCATTGTATACGAGTTGAAAAGGGTCCACAAAGGGGCAACTATGACGTTTGGCGGACTGGCTTCCCGGAAATTTGATATTTATATTATCGTTAGGTGCTATTCATGTATTTTCATGTATTGTCATTGACTGCTGCAAATTATATAAACTTTATTAAATAATGGTTGAGAGACATTTTTGCCGCGCTTATGAACACGTTGACATTTTTTAAGTTTTTTTATAATAATTCTTATAAATAAGCAAGATATCTCAGATTGTGGCGGTATACATATATGTTGTGGCACATTGATGTAAACTCCAATTGCATGAAACGGAATTCGTGTGCCTGTATGCCAATCCCTCAGAGTTAGTAGTCATCACTTACATTCAGGCGGTAATTCCAGATGTAAAGTAATTCATCATCACAGGGATTGTTTAAGAGGCAAGCTAGCCATAGCAATAGGTCATGCTGTGCACATTTAAAATGTAAATTAATAACATTTGCATTATTCAAATGCAAATGTATTGTCTTTAACCTATTTAGATGTAGGTTTACTAGCATAGCATGACCAGTTGCCATGGCTAGCTTTGCCAATGTTCCATTGTACGGTATGGTTATCATTAAATTCTATCTGTCAAAATCTTAATCATGTTTCGTAATCGTAATTTCATATCTCGACCAATGGAATTAAATTCAAACACACGCACATAATTCTCGTAAAGAGGAAAATCCCATCTTTCATTTCATGAAAACATTTTACCACTGCCCTCATAAACATTTATTTTCTGTATTGGGAAGGTGTTTATATATTCACATGGAAAGTTTGGCATCCATTTAGCGAATATCAATATAGGCGCTTACCTTCTTTGAAGAGACCACAAACTGTGAAACCCATACAAGTTGGCTGCAAAAATAAGAAGTATTTTAAGCACCGAGTTCATAATTGACTATACCGTTTGTTAATTGACTATAGCTTTTGTCAATTTTTAAAATTTACAGAGTTGAATATAATTCTGAAATTCTATAATTTAATATAATATAATTCTGGTTGGATATGATCGGGCACTATTATATAACTCAAAAGAGAAAAGTTGTACAGTACATTGTATCATAAATTATTTCACTTGTATATAAAGTCAATATAATATAGCAATTCGTTTGACCATTATACCTCAACAGTGTTACGAAGTTGAAAGGAATCTCAATTGACAAGTCATGTATGTGTAACAGAATCATTATTCATATGAATGTGACTAAATTATCAGTCATAGTGCAAGGCTTTCAGAATTATTCTGTAGCTGGCTGCATGTGTTAATAAAGTAGGCGGCTTTGGAGAGCAACCTAAATGAACTATAAAGAGTGAAGCTTTTGAAAGAAAAATAAAACTCACTTGCACGAAGTTGACGTCGACCGTTAAACTTTCTAGGTCATGTTTTGTGGAAGGTAGATCGTTGAGAAAAGCAACCACAGAGATACGAGATGACTTGAGTAACTCTAACTTCCGATCTGTTAACGTAAGAATCCACTGTCAATAATCCACCTTCTCAAATACGCCTCCTCTTTAATAGTAATAAGTCCCCCCCCCCTCCTTTCTCCTAAGTTATTGTAAGACCTTGAGCGACGACCCACCAGGCAAGAATTGAACCAGAGTCTCCCAGCATGGAAGGCAAGCGTATATAGTGACGCCGAACACAATTAACAAGTGCTAGTATAATATCCCGTTGTAAACAGAGCGAGGATGATTGATTTTAACTTCTGCGGGATTTTAACAGCTCTAACTTTCTTTTCTACAATATTATGCGTTTTCGTGTAATAGTCGTCGTCGCATTTCCGTTGGTGAAGACTACATTCACGCTAATGTCGTAGAGGCCTGAAAACGGCGCGAGATGAAATTTGTGCACGGTTTCTAAACGGAACGAGATGAAAACGGAGTGCTTGGCGGCTTCGTATGAACACAAACGCCGTTTCTTTTTTGTACAGCTTGCAAATCACGCGTCACAGGTCTCAGAACAATAAATTCGAATAACACGTAAATTCTGCCGGCATTATTTCGCTCAGGTGCAGTGTGAACGTAGTCTATAGGTTCCTAATAAAGGTAGCCTAGTTCATTATACAGGGAACGGAAAGTGTACAATTAGCCATTCCGAAGGTGATGAGAGAACTAAGGACAAGTGTTAAAAACTGCCCAACTTAAGAAATGAACCAAATAGCTAAAAAGACCACCTCAAAATTAGTAAGTACACAAAGTTTGAAGACGTTTACATGAATACCCTTCGAATAATAAGCTTTCGAAAATTGTGAAATTACTGATTAAAAGATTGTTTTGGGGACGCGCGTCCCCAAAACAAAAATTACAATACATTTCATGGTAAATATCGCAATTTTCGAAAACCTATTATTCGAAGGATATTCATGTAAACGTCTTCAAAATTTGTATACTTACTAATTTTGAGGTCTTTTTAGTGATTTTGGTCCATTTTTTAATTTGGGCACTTTTTAACATTCGTCCCCAGTCCACTCATCAACTTCGGAACGGCTAATTTAAGGCTGGTTCTTCTCATGTCCCCGTATAACTAATACATCAAGCTGTGTTAAAGTTCGCTCATATCGAGTATGACGCATTCTCTGTGCAAAAAAATATTATCAAAAGAAATCACGAACCTGTGTCGTGAAGAAATTTCATATTTCTACTATGCTTGCGATACACCGAAATAAGATTGGACCTACAAAACGAAACATAAAGAGGGTATGTCTTAAATTCTAGTTAAATTCTGCTTCAAAAGTAGAGGTGCACCGAAACCAATATTTTATTAGTTCCGGCCGGAATCTGGTATGGAAAAAATACGGCTGGAACCAGAACAGAGTTGATTTAACCGTGGAATTATTATAATTATGCCGTAGCATAATCATGTGGACAAGAATTAATTAACTACATGCAGAGTCATTTTTCCCGCGCTTGTGAACACGTTGGCATTTTTGACGTTTTTAGAACGGAAATTGGGAAAACAAGAAATTGTGTGAAAACACTCCGCCCTTCGGGCGTCGTGTTTCCACACAATTTCGAGTTTTCCCAATTTCCACGAGTGTTGATATAACTTTCAAAAACTCATTAATAATTCAGGAGCAAAACACAAAGAAAAATCATAAGCGTGTCGTGATAGAAAATCACGTGATAGAAATATGTGATAGAAAATCACGTTAATTTACATAAACTTTAGCTTTGATTCTCTCGGTTTAGACAAAGTTTACTTCGCCAATGAACTCGTATAAGATGAGTCGTTTTTGAAGCTATTTAAAGCACTTGTAGTCGTGTTTTATCACATATAAAACACTCCGCTACGCGTCGTGTTTTATATGTGATAAAACACTCCTACGCGTGCTTTAAATAGTACATATATATCAATACGGAAAAAGTTTTATATTTGTTTTATAATATAGCACAAAGAAAATTTAGAAAGAAACTTTCCGACATTTCCGTGTTGACATTGAGTTATATCAACACGGCTCTTCGCCAATCAGCGTTCAGAATTTACAAATGCTATATTATAATAATGTTTATAAATAAGCTAGATATCTCAGATTTCCGCGGTACATATGTTGTTGCACATCGATGTAAACTTTAATTGAAACGGAATTTGTGTGGCTTTATGCCAATCCCTCAGAGTTAGTTGTCATCACTTACATTCAGGCGGTAATTCCAGTAATTCATCATCACAGGGACTGCAGAGGCAATGCAATTTGTTTTCTACAACGGGGTATATATATTTGCAATGAAAAGTGTTTAAAACCTAAAATCTCCTGGCCTTCCCTCTCAAAATTACTTCGTTTTAGCTCTATTTTGTAGTTTACACAGTTAGCAACCTTTTAAAATGTATCTGGCGGTTGAGAAACACAAAATAAGAAGTAAATATTGTTAATATTAAACACAATTATCATCGATGCTGTAAAATTGACGCCATATTTATATAGCAATATTAGCAAAAATTTGTGAACTTCAGACATCATTTTCTCTTTGGTGTACCATCTAAAATCTCCTCATTTTAGGCATAATTTTACAGATAAAGAACTTTTTAAGTTTGCCGCTAGAGAGACGTAGGCCTATCAAAAATAAAAAACTGATAACGTTGTCTCAACGCTGGGACCAGAAACAGAAGTATTACGAAGAAACAAAGTATTTGGGCAAGGCATACTTTTTTCATCAGTTCCGGCCAGAACCATGAAGAACCCTACAAAAATTAGATTTCCAGCAGGAGTTACGGCGCACCTCTATATTCAAAAGATTTCGTTTCATCAACTTTTTTATTTGATATATACATACGTATTTCCACGATTTTTGAAATCCACCACACACATCGAGAAGACTGCCTATATGAGAATACGAGCAATTCAGCAAATGAAAAACCTCTTCTAAAATCTCGGAAGAACTAGTCATTGTCTTAAGACGGTTTTCCAGTCCTCGCACGAAGCTCCTCGCAGCTCGCTGCGAGTGCTTGCATCTAATTAAAATAAACTGTTTAGCATTGTGATTGGATGAAAGTGCTCATGCATCACTCGCAGCGAGCTGGGAGGAGCTTCGTGCGAGGACTGGAAATCCGCCTTTAGTCTTGTGACATTGTCGTTACATGAGAATTAAGCACCACATGACGATGAGAGTTGAGAAGGTAGATTCTGCATGTGATGAGTCTGAGTCTTATGATGTATATCATCATACATGTGTTCATTTTAAAGTTTCATTATACTTTACATAAAAACTTACTTCATCGTCGTAAGCATCGAGTAATTTCTGTCTGTTATCCGAGTCATAGACCGCTAAATACCTACAGGGTTTAACACAAACAAATACAAGCACAGAACACGTATACAGTAAACCCCCGCATATAAGAACCTAGATTTTCCAAGTTAGCCTAAACAGGTTCTTACGTAAATGGTGCTTACCAGGATATTAGGCTAGACCGGTTCTTAAATAGGTTCTTATTTTCTTAAGAGAAAAGCGGCTCACTTAGGGGAGGTATGGTATATTATTTACGTAAATTATGCACAAATGATCAAAAACTGAATAACACGCAGTGTATGCACTACAGTATACCAACTCTACATGCATGCACTTTAAAGCTACAGTACACTGATTGTAACTTATGACTTAATTAATTTTGACTCTATTTGATAATATAAGAATCTGTTTTAAAATTCTAGCCTATAACAGGTTCTTAAATTCTAGGTTCTTATAAGCGGGGTTTTACTGTATACCAGTTTATCGTACACTTGTCGATTAAAAACGTAAACCAGTTTTCTGCAAGACTAAGCACTACGTACCTCTTTTATAGAGACTGTTTAAATAGCACTTAATGTCCACTCCCGGAAGAAACAGTTTTGTTTTCTCGAGAGTTTGAATGTTTTCCGGAACGTAGTTGAGGGAAACATTGAGATTCGAAGGAAAACAAAACTAACTATTTCCCGAGGGAAGAAACATGAACGGTTTTGATATATTGCGATAAATGAAACAAGCAACATTCACAAAACAATGTATATGTATATGTATAAATACCTCCTTATAATATAAATAATTTTAACAATAAAAGAACGTCTATAAAAGCTGGTGTTTCAGCAGCATTTCCTGTTGCGTTCCGATAGATACTGTATTCTTTTTGAAAACTGGGAAAACTTTCTTTCGACTTTGAACTTTTATGATTCCATTTTGTTTATTTATGTACGTAAACGGTCGGAGCGGACAACAATTTTTCACTTGTTGCCCACATGTAGTTTAAGCACTATAGCTATAAATATATAACAATTCCATACTTGTTGTCCCTTTTTCATATACCATGTGATTTTTTGCATATTTTTTCTCGTTTTCCAGGAACAATACTGACCACCAAACGTCAGTTCGCGCAATAAAAGTAACTCGAAAGTGAAATTGACCAATGAACGTACAATTAAATCCTTGTTCGGATTCTGCCGGAAAATGAATCCCCGGCCACTCCAAACACAATTAACAAGCTTTCCAGCACTAGGGAACCAATCACAGGAACTAAAGTATTGTCTATTCAGATGATTTTACCAGTCAATGTGAATAGTTCAGTTGTTTCTCGCCTAACCTACCCACAATTCATGCTGACATTCTGAGTGAAACCTGTTAGATATACCAGAGTACTTCAGTAGCAATTCAATATAACAGCTGTAACTGGACCAATATATAAACATTCAGATTTACACAGAGATTATTCCTCTACAAAGCTCTATAATGCTCACAATTTTGTCTCAACTTCAGTAGTTTAACTTAAAGTAGTTAAGTTAATTTGGTATTTTTGAAACGCCTACAAGCAGTTAAAGGTTTCAATTAGCGGTGAAACTGACGTTAACGTGGTTTGACGATAAAGAATACCATTAATAGAAGCGAAATGAGCAGACAATCTGTGAAAATCAAAACTGAATGAGGACTTGATAGCAATGACGTGATAAGAACACAAATGTGAGATGATAATGAAAACGTAATGATAAAACGCCTGCCGAAAATCATGGTACTCGTTAGTGCCTAGGCTGTATATAGGGTCCCAAATGATGGGAACCCTAGCCTGGCAGTGTTGTGGCTGTGTGGAATATTTCCACAATATGGCCACAAGTAAAACGAGTCTTGGTGACAGCAACATGTAGAATCAAGAAAGAAAACCACAGAACACTCAGCATACGAATTTTGACTCTACCATGTTAACAGACATACACAGAGGCGAACAAGCAAACACACGAACAGAAAATAAACAGGCAAACAAAGCAATAATAAAGCGTGACAAAAAACTACTAACGTAAATGAACACATTGGCTTATGAAAAACTACATTATTGAATGAATGATGGTGTATGAGAATGCCATTGCAAAAAAGAAAACGTCAGATGCACAGTCTAAACTAAATAAAATTTAACTGCTTCCGATCATTCTATGGTGAATCCAAGAACTATGTGTCTTTGACTCATACCATGTCTCTTTGTATTTCTTCATGAGCAAATGGAAGATTAATAATATTTTGGTCAGTTACAGAATATTTCAGACATCTGTTATGTTGAGATAAAGCGGCTGGGTAAATTTGGTGCTCTTTTGAAAATGTGTCCCTTTTTCTGAGACGGTATAACCCAATTGATTCGTAAAACCATCTGATATTAGAGAATACAAGTTACTTGCCCAATGATTTTTATTATAATTTCACATAAGGCTTATTCTAGATACTATATTATCACATAAGGTTGATTCTTGTCACGTTTTTAGAGGCCGATGCCGAACCACGCGGTTTTTTCAAGCTCAATTTCCAGCTAAATCGTGCTCTTAAGGCTCGCGTTAACCAGTATAGGTAATGTTGATTAGCAGTATGGATTATTTTATTAATACAAAAACACAGTTCAGAGGCTTCTATAGTCGTGGTATAAAGCAGGGTAAAGATGGTAACCTGTTCGTGAAAAGGGGATAAATATAGATGAAAGGGGAGTGGTTCACGTGCAAAGCAATAAGATTGCTCTTTCTCTTGCCACGTGACCAGCCCTTCTTGGCCGTTTTTGGGTGGCAAATCGATAGAATATTATGTCAAAATCAAATCTTTTTATTGGGACTTTAATGTTACTTTTAACTGCATGGGAATTGAATGATACTACACTCTAAAATGACTCTTAAAATATCGTGGTTAACCCATTCACAACAACTATTTGAATATTCCTGGTTACATGCATTGCATGCAAAATCCTCCAAAATTAATTATTAACGATGGTAACTTTATCGCGATCCGTATTTTATGGTAGACTGTTGGTATATTCTGCCTTATGTTTGCCTTAATTGTTAATTTCAAAACTTCGAATGCAATTGACGACAACATTAGATGTATTCAGAGGAATTATATATGCATGGTTGCAAGTAAAAAGGCTCTTGCTAGGTCTTCTCCTCCACTCCTACAAATACTTACTAGCACATAGCAAAACCACGAGCTTTTGGCAACAAATCGTATATAACAGACATGCCCAAATTGGAATGACAATACCTTTCAATTATCACGCATCTATGGGACGGTATAATCTCGAACAAATTACAAAAATAAATTTCTACATACTGTTTTACGAACGGCAATACCAATTTCTTTGTTAGTTCATCTGGAATAAAACTTCCCTAAAATAGGATAAAAGTTGCCTGCTTTTAAAATATCAGAAGTTTGAACATGAAACATTTGGTGCTATAATACTATAGATATTTTAAAATGTCTGCAGTCAATTAGTTTAGAATTATCTATCTGACTTTATCTAACCTAGACCTTATCTAGGAAAAATTGTTTAACGCCGAGTGAAAGTGGATCCAAAATGATTGACGGGTCAATTTTTCTGGAAACTTTGAACGATAAAACATTTTCCACCTCTTTGAACTGTCGTAATGGACATGTGAACTTGTGTCTCTGAGATTGAAAAGCATGCAGATCCAAAAATACCCGAGTTCCAAAATCTAGGTTTTTTATATTATATTATTAAATTTGTCACAAATATTTACAATGACACTGATAAACAATATACATAACAAGCTACAAGACAACACACGTGACTGGAATGTGGTTGCTGTATAAATATGGCTTCAATTTTACAGCATCAGTGATAATTGTATTTAAGATGCAATTTTTTCAACGCCAGCGAATTTGCGATGAAAAATGTTCAAAACCTAAAATCCTTCTGGTGTTCGTCTCAAAATAACTTTGTTTTAGTTTTATTTTGATACACAGTTAGCAACCTTAAAACGTACAACTGAGAAAAGTCAAAGCAGGAGAGAGAATAGTAACTCACCAGTGACACCAGTTTCGGGAATACACTTCTGATCTCGCTGCAAAACAAAATATCATTTCCATGTTAGCGTTTGGTTCTAAATAAACCAGGGTTCCCAAGAAGAATCCGGCACCCGGCGACTTTCGCCGTCTATATAGCCTAGATATATAATCGCCGGTTATTTATTGAAATTGTAACTCTAAATATTTCCTCGCTACCACAGAATAGGCAACGGAAAGGTTTTATATAACATACATTTTATACGAATACTCGTCATTGAGTATTTGGATAATATGACAAATATCCAAAACTATTTTCCCAAATGTCTGGAAATGCCATTTCACGAGGTGTAAATTTTCACGGGGAGACGCCTCCGGAACTCCGTCCGTTGGTGAGTGAAACATTCAGCAGCACATAGGGTATGCAGCAGCTAGGTGCAGCTACGGTATTAACATTCTCTAGCTATGATGCACTAATACCGATTTACTTTTTTGCCTAGCATCGTGAGGTAACTTTGTAACGGTTATAGTTAGTTACATTAAGATATGTGTAACTTTCACTGGTAAACTATTTCATTTTTCGAGCAAATAACTGTATAACTGTATCTACAATCAGTGACAAAATACGTGGACCGGTTAGGCGCGGAGATTGTATATAACATAATCCCCCTCCCCTCTGTTAAATGTTGTTAGACTAAAATTGGCATTTTATTTGAAGTATAGTTTTGTGTTGTATCGCACGTTCCTGATAACTCTCCCAGAACACACAGCAACATTGAAATGGGAGGGTTAAATGTCATTTTTGCAATTGTTTACAAAATGACTTTCAAATCTAAGTGTCCCACCTTTCAATGTCACTCATTGTAATTCAAGAAAATAAGTAACTCTTAACTTTTACAGCACTGTTGAACACCTAATATCCAATCCACCGTATTACATACACATGCAGTACCTGACATATCCAGTTTGACTGTTGCTGTAATTGTCGCAAAGAGGATTGCCATCAACAACTAATGACTTTAGTTCTTTCAAGTTTTTTATCTTCTTCAATTCATTTATATGTCGCAGCTAAAAAAACGAATGATTAAAGTATATTTCAGCATATACTTAAGAGTCACCCAGCTCTTGTGGAGTCGTCATCACTTAGCTTGGTCGGGTGATGCCAGTACAAGGTGTGACTAAAATGTCGAGATTTTTAGGCATCGCGCTCGATAGAACTCACAGTTGAAGGTGTTTTTTGTAGATGGAAATTTTATACATTTATTACACCTAACCAGGAGCATTGGCGAAATATGCAACTATTCGCCCTCTGACAGGAGTCGAACCTGCAGCCCTGCGATTCTGGTGCACCGCTCTAACCAACTGAGCTTAATCCGTGCATTTAGCTAATTTACTAACTTCTTATTAACTGAGCGCGAGGTCTTTACAGAGAAATATCGGACCTAAGGTCTTTTTTGTACAGACCGAGCCCGTAGGGCGAGGTTTTGTACAAAAAGACCGAGGTCCGATATTTCTCTGTAAAGTCCAAGCAAAGCGAGGTTAATAAAAAGTTTATTATATGGCGTTTATATCAGGCCCACCAAGGGTGTAACCTAGGTCGCTTGTCACTAATTTTGTAGCTGCTTTGTCGTTTGTTTTATTGTAATAAATGTCGCTGTCGCTTTTGACTCATAACACAAATCGCAATTTGTCGCTTTTTCCCAGACCAGAAGCTCGTTTGTCGCTCTTTTTTAGATCGTCTGGCGCCTCTTTTTAAGGAATGTCGCCTGTCGGTCATAACCCCTTGGTGGGCCTCTTATATAAGCATTTATACTTGAAACAAACAAGAAATGCATGATTCGAAATGCATATTAGTAGCGTGGTACACATTTGATCGAAGAAAACAAAAAATAGCAATATATTCCTTTCTTTCCACTTAAAACCATTCCGAGATATCTTATTAATAACAAACTAAATTATAATTTTCAAATTTTCTATTAGTTTTGCTGTTTTGTTTTAAAATGCATGCGTTTGTTTTTACGTAACGGGAAAATAATGGACCGCTAAAAGTGCTTCTCAGCCAATCACAGTCTGCCATTTCACCGGAAGTGATGCTTGGCATATAATAAATATTGTTAATTTACTTTTTTTACAATAACAATAACAACATGCAAATTAGGTAAATGCAAAAATTATATGCGTGAAAGGCATTGGTGCCAAAAAATGAAACTTTCAGTAGCTACATGTATTTAAAGGATTTAAAATTCAGTAAATTTTCTGATATTTGGACCATTGATAAAACACATAATAAATTTCTCGCCAATGCACTCAAAATGGGTTTTAAATTATTAAATTTCGCGCGCAAGGTATTTTTAATGCTGCTAAAAAAGACACTCCCCTGCTCTGGAAAATTAATCTTTACTTTGGTTTTCAAATACACGACGGCTTAAGAATAAGCAGACTTACATTGTTTTCTCCAAGATGTAAAGTGGACATACTAGGAGCGGCTTCGTGTAGATCTTTTAAAGCATCTAGAGTTGAGATTCTGTTCTTTCGAAGATCAAGATTTTGAAGCTAGTAAGGTAATTAAAGGGATAAGTATACAAATAAGTATAAAATGATCAGATTAAGGCAGTGAAGTGAAGCAGACTTCCCTAGTTTGAATTTTTATGTACAAACGGTTGGAGCTGCTCTAGCTCATCGGTTCATTTTCATAATCATGTATTGATATCATATTCATTTTCATGTATTAATTCATTTAAATTTGACATGTGCCCAAAGGCGGACCTACCGTGGGGTGCAGGGGGTGAGCACCCCACCTAGTGGTGTCTAAAGTTTCCCCTAGAGAAGTCCAGCACCACACTAAAATCTGCTTGACCACACATTTTTTTGGCGATTAGCGGAACTTCTACCGTTAGCGCGTGTGTAGATTTCTTCAAACGATTTAATTGATTTGATTTGATTTGTGAGCTGACGAGAAAATACTCAGAATGCTTTAGTTAAATAATGCTTTAGTTATACAGCCATATTTCCAAATATACTGTACTTTAACAAGTAAATTTATTGTACTGTGCTGTACTACAGCAACTGTCCAGTCACGCATACGTGATAAAAGCCGATATAAACTTCATAAAGAAAGATAATGTAAAACGTAACTGAACGGCGAACATGTAGATTTGGCCATCTCAAATAGTGTAATGTTGGGACAGTAGCGTCGCAGACTGCAGAGGAGAGTGGGCAGTAATGCACCACCCCATGGAAAACCTACACCTCTCCTTGCAGATGAGGCTAGATATGCCTCTGCATGTGCCTCGACCGTTGCCACGCAACAATTCGGTCAGTATTTATACGTTTTGAATTATTGTTTACTCAAGGTTATAGATTGACCAATTTCTCGCGCACGCCGAGTTCACACAAGTAGATAACTGACAAGACAATGACGAATTTAGTTTACGTTTGACACTTCTAAATGATACTGATACTGATATTGGCAACCCAACGCGATTTTTCAGTTTTCAAAGTGATAAAACGGTCCATGAAAATAAATTTTAAAAGCTATGTAGACCAAATGACTCAACATATATAGCGCAAATATAAATATCTGAAAAACTTAAATCAGGATAAAAAATATCTAAAAGGAAATGCTGATGAATCTAACATGCTGTGCAGGGTTGTTTATTGATTATTCATACGTCATCGGTAATCGGTTAGTCGATCAATCCATTAATCGAAGTAGCCCTGGAAATTCTGGTGTGACGACTTGGCTCGCGGTTCTTGATTTACTCTCTTAATTGGAAACCTCTCAATGTAAGACGTGGCCATGCAGCACAAATCGATATATTTCTTTATAAAATCCTTAGTAACTACACTGCTTCCAATTTGAAACAAATGTTTATTTCGAGAAGTGGTATGCAAACAGCATATGATCTCAGAAATAATAATATACATCTGAAAGTCTGCTTAGAACCAACACGACAACTATTCGCATTTAACGGTTTACCTGAATCCGCAGTAAATCTGCCACTTACTATAGGCTAAAAGATAGTTTCTCAAAACGTTCAAATACAGCGAAACCTAAGATATGGAATGGAGATCAGGCTGATGTAGGCTTCTTCACATAATCAGGACACAAATAGCATCGCTCAAAGGGTAAATATACGTTGCTTTAATATTAACTTATTTGCCGACGTTTTGAGAAATTTGAAATAATCGTTTGTAGGTTAAAGCATAAAAATTTGGCGTTCGCCTTTTACCTGTGGACAGCATTCTTTAATGAGCTTCACAATCATCGCTAGTAACCATGGTTTATTCAAAACTCCCTGTATTTGGTTTTCGTTTAGAACTAGACAAATAAAAATAACCATTTAGTATGCAAATAAGACATTTTTTGTTTCTGCTGTTATGTACTCAGGTGAAGATATATTTTTGTGATGGCGTCTCTGAGTGTGTCCACACAGGGCCAGCTGAAAAGTTTGCTTGACCGAGGTGGGAATTGAACCCACGACCTTTGGTTGGCTAGTCCACAGTTGCTAGTCAAGGCTACGAGGTCAAGTCGGTGCAAAACATATTAATTATTCATGATTGTTTGGACGAAAATACAACAGACACGTGATGGTGAAAAACACAGACAAAAACACAGACAACCCATTGATGTGTTTTTCAATTCTCTCTATATTCTATTGAAAAATATTGTTACCTTTGTCGTGATAAAAATCACTCAAGTCCAGACTGTTTGTACTCGTATCATATCTTGTGTCCAGCGATTGCTAAAAATAAAGAATATGGATAATGTTTATAACGCCAAAACTTTAACCACAATATTTTGTAGCATGCCAATATGTAGAATACATTTAGAACATTAGAGGCAAGGTCAAATAGGTGTACAGTTTCAATACTTGCAAAAACCTTTGAATAATGCCGAAGGATTTTGTAGATGGAAATTTCGTGTGTAAATTTTACACATTTATTAGAGCTAACCAGGTGCAGTTGCGAAAAAATGCAACTATAGGTCCTCTGGCAGGAATCGAAAATGCGGCCCTGTGATTCCGTTCCAGTCTTCCATATATAACCAACTGAACTATAGAGAAACAGTTGCAGAACTCTAACTACAAGTTTACCCCTTCAACAATAGACCTTTCCCCTTTTAAGTGAAATTTTGATCTAGACAAGCCTGGACAAAAATTTCATCACAGCTTGAACGAGCATCACAAAATTAGTAATATTCCGAAGTTTCGTTGCGAAATGTTGTAAAATGCGGATGATATAGCCTTGCGAAGTTTGCCGTTTTTCAGTCATTTTAGATTACAAATGGGAAATTGATAATCAGTTTGATCATCTGATTATCAATTTCCCGTTTGTAATGCAAAATGACTGAAAACGGCAAACTTCGCAAGGCAAAAGCATCCGCATTTTACAACATTTTGCAACGAAACTTCGGAATATTACTAATTTTGCTATGTTCTTTCAAGCTGTGATGAAATTTTTGTCCAGACTTGTCTAGATCAAAATTTCATTTAAAAGGGGAAAGTCTATTAGTTATTATTTTATTATTTATTTACAAAATTCCTGGTTTCATATCAACTCAATGGCTAACCAAATACGGATTTTTCACATTCATACTAGCAACATGACGTCAAAGAGTCAATATGAAAAAAAATTGGACGCGTTTGCGCCATATTACTATGACGACGAGAATCATATTGACTCGCTGACGCCATTGATTAGTCTCCTACGCAGCCTGTTCGCGGGTCAGAGGTTTAGCCATTGATATGACGCGACGACGGTTGCCGAAGGACTAAGGAATTGGGGTTTTTTTAATACAAATAAAATACAAATGTTTGTTTTGAATTTTTTAAATAAATAATAAAACAATTATTGAATTCGGTTTTCGCACAATATGAAGAATTATCAAGCCCTCTCAGTTTGCCGTTATCAACCTCAGCCTTCGGTTGATAACGCTCTACAACTGGACTCTGCAGCTCAATTGGTTAGAGGGCTGCCACAGAATAAAGACACACATGCAGAAGGACGACTCGTTTAATAAGTGTCCATAATCTATTAAATGATAACATCTACACCAGCTTATAAACCTTAATTGTTTTTATATTCAAATATTGTAAATAAGTATAGTGCTTTATTAAGTATAATGGAGAGTTGATCGATGAGGATAAATCTAAACACACACTCCTATTCACTGGATAGTTTTGTTCCTCAAGCAAGGCATTAAGTTGCCACGCTCTGCGCCATCTGTGCAATAACGTATGGACATTTAAATCTTATCTAATAATAATAACCATTTAAAACCCTTTAGTGTATAAAAACTGAAATATTATTATAACTGAAGAGTTGATCAACGACGATGGATCTAAACACTCAAATTCAGTTGCTGGTCTTGTTTCTTGTCAACATTTTTTTTACTTTCTTCGGAGTGGTGTTAAATGCTGTGGTCATTCTTAGTCTATGGAAGTCTACGCAACTTCGAAAGAAATTATGTTATTTTATGATAATGGTGTTGTCGTTCTTCGATTTGCTCGCAGTCATAACGAATCATCCTATTCGAAGCCATAAGCTCCATTGCCTGGTTGACTGAACTGAATGATGTATCATCATCCACGCTGGGGATTTGCGAACATGTCGCTAACCAATTCCATCACCTTAGTATACATGAATTAACTTGTAGTTAGAGCTCGACAACTGGACTCTGCAGCTCAATTGGTTAGAGGGCTGCCACAGAATAAAAACACACATGCACGCAGAAGGACGACTGAGCCAAAAAAGCGTAACTGCTGCCACGCCATAATTCGCCATCAAAACGCTGACGAGCTGGCTTTTAGAGCTCTTACGTTGCATGAAATCAACCAGTGTCCACTTCTTTTTGGGGACATAAAGGTATATGATCGACGAATATACAAGGTGTATAAAAAAAAAAATAGATGGAACATTTGTTGGATTTTTAATTACTGTACAAAATTTCAGACAATTTGCTTTAGTTTAAGTTTTAACTATTCATTTTTTCCTAAAAAATCAGCCTTTCGCATGCTTAATTAATGCCTTTGCATATATGCAAATTAAGCAAAGGCATAAGCTGGAGTAATACGAGCAACAAAATTGCTGCAACTTGCAACAAAATCTGATATCAACGCATGTTAAGTAGAAATGTTGACACATGTTGCCTCGTGATTTGTAATGTATGTGTAAACATTTTCAATTAACATGCGTAGAAATCAGATTTTGTTGCAAGTTGCAGCAATTTTGTTGCCCGTATTACTCTACCTATAATTAAGCATGCAAATAGCTGATTTTTAGGAAAAAATGAATAGTTAAAGCGTTTAAACTAAAGCAAATTGTCTGCAATTTTGTACAGTAATTAAAAACCCAACAAACTTTCCATCTATTAACTCGAAATATGATTAAATCTTTTACATTTCGTGCGCAAGCCATTTTTAGTTTGTTGGAAAAGACACCCCCCCCCCTGGTTCACAAAATTTGAGTTCGAAATTTTTTTTCATTATTCTACATTATAAGTACCCAAAGAAACTATATACATCAAAAACTGGATACTACTAGCTGTTTTGCGAAATTAAGAGCAATTTTAAAACTGCTCAGTTTTTTCTATACACCCTGTAGTTTAACTGAAAGTACTCAACTTCATCGCGATGTAAATATATATGCAGTCTTAGCGAGATTACAGAGAGCCTGGGCCCCATCTACACATATTCGGATTTGTTTGAATACCGAATTCCGAAATATCGTTTAGCGGGTTTGCCTCCCGCGTCCACAGGTATCCCACGATGCAACGAATATGGACTATTGAATACTATATTGAATACGTTCGTCAGAAGTGAAAACTTTTCAAAAGAAAATGATAACGAATTCGTGTTTACGGACGAAAACGGAACTTTTCGAATCGATGAAATATGAGGTCCGCCTACGCTAATAACACACTCAGCTGTACCGCGCACTCTTTATAATAATTAGCGCATGCGTCATGACCCATAATAGGGTTTGCGTGTCGTTTTTCCGTATACGTGCGGACGCAGTTATTAGACAGATTTAGATCGAGGACGCGGACGTCAAAGATGACATGAAAATGGCGTTGCTTATTCGACTGTCCTACTCTTGTTTTGGGCAATATACAGCGAATTGACATATACAATGGAATAATCTTGCAGCTAGGACCATGAATTAAGAGATCGCTAAAGTAAATTGAAATTAAAAAAATGTTCAAAAATGCTATTTGCAATTACCCTACTATATCTTGTTAAAGATTTTGAACAGCTGTTTTCAGCTGCGAGATGTGGATTCAAGAGGATTCAAAACATACAGTTTATTTGGAGAGATAGAAAGAGCCTGTAGGCTTAGTAATAAATAAAAAAAATGAACTCAACATCGAATCTAACAATCTTTTTCAAAGTCAACGCAGTACTGTTGTGCGCTGTTAACGTCATCTTTACATTCGTCGGGATATTCTTAAACTCTATTGTCATAATCAGTCTACTAAATTCACAACTGCGAAGAAAATTATGTTACTTTACGATTCTCGTTCTTGCCAGTTTCGACCTCGCTGTGGTTGTTGTCTTTCATCCGTTAATAATTGTGGAAACGATATTTAGCTGCGTGTTCACAAGATTTACAGACTCTATCAACGTGCCATACCATAAACTTTTGCCCGTGTTTTCGTTGACCGCGCTTTTAACAATGACTCTGGAAAGATATCTCGCTTTAATGTATCCATTTTTTCACGAGAAATTTGTGACAAGGTCAAAACTGTTAGCTGTATTCGTGCTGTTTCAGTTACCAACTGGTATATACAGTATGGCAAGATTCGGAAAATCAGAGGAATACATTGAGCAAGTTTTTTCACTCTCTCTAATTGGAATCGTTTTATTTGTAATATTTTGTTTGAACTACAAAATATTCTATATTGTGAGAACAATACGTAACCGCGCTATTGTACTTGTAGGACATTTAAATGGGTCTGAGCAAAAAAATAGTGAGATAAAGAAATCCAAAGCAACTTTGCGGAAAGTCTCTACATGTTTGTTAGCGGTAGGATGCTTGCTCGTATGTTACTGCCCAACTATTGTTCGCTTTGGATTGGCACTGACCGGAGCACAAGCAGACTGGAGTGATGAAACTTTGCGCATTGTCCATCTTTGGGCAAAAACATTCATCACTTTAAATTCAAGTTTGAATTGTTTGATATTTTTCTACAGGAACAGTGCGCTGCGTCGTCATGGAGAGACGATTCTGGAGAAATGTTTTCGCGCGAGATTGCGACTCTATAAATAGACTTTAACAACCTGGAACTTGACACTAGAAACGCTAACTCGTTACAAGTGTAGGCGAGAATTACATATATGAGATCAACATAGTTCTATTACGTTTTGTATGTATATGTAGTATAAGTATGTTAACGCATGTTATTTGTAGCGTTTTAGATATGATAAAACGCGAGTTCGAGTGTTTTGAATAGCTTAAAATACGACTACAAAAGAATGCTAATTAGGATGAACAATTATATAATCATACTAATTAGGATGAACAATTATATAAAGAATACTAATGAAGATGAGTTTTATCAGATATAAAGTCATTCCATGTGACATATTATGGCTGATTTGCCACTGAAGGTTTATGGATTTTTAATGAGTATTTTAAAACAACCAATATTCTGCATGGTTGTTTTGACCAAATAAAATTGGTCAAAAAGAGATGCGTCTGAGACAACCAATTTGAATTGGTCATTTCAACCAATCTGTTTTTACAGTGCTATAGTTATATTACGTTTTGTATGTATATGACGACTACAAAAGAATGCTAATTAGGATGAACAATTATATAATCATACTAATTAGGATGAATAATTATATAGAGAATACTATTAATGAAGATGATGTTTATCAGATATAAAGTCATTCCATCTGATATATTATGGCTGACATGATTTGCCACAAGGTTTATGAATTTTTAATGAGTATTTTAAATATATATATATATATATATATATATATATATATATATATATATATATATATATATATATATATATATATATATATATATATATATAGCTTAAGATTAGATTAGAAGACAAACTTGAATTACTTCATATGAACTTTATTTCACATATAAAACAAACTTGAATTACTTCAAAAAATAATTAAAATAATTAAAATAATTAAAATAATTAATAATTAAAATAATTTTTTTTAATTTTTTCAAACTTGAATTACTTCATATGAACTTTATATATATTATATATAGGCGGAATTTCTCTTTGTCTTTTCTAATTAGTTCCACCCGAGAAATCACAGGACAAAGAGAAATTCCGCTCCGCGCGAAAAATTCTGCCTAGTGGAAAACGGTCTTAAAGTGACAAATCATTAGTTAATCCAAGCTCAAGACTCGAGATATCGTGCCTGTACATAATTATATGGACCCATGACGGATTTAATAAAATTTTCCACGTTTCAACTACACGTACACAAGATAGCATTCATTACATAACTTTAAAAAACTATTAAATAGACGGTGTGTATACGAGGTATAAACCTCTCATTCTCTTTCGTCCTCCACTATACGACTTCTTCACTTATACTTATCTTTCTCTCTCAATTTTTATCTGTTTTCCACTTCAAACATATCGCGGCGAAGTGTAACGTATGTATTAATTTGTTTCGTGAGCATTCCGATATAGAATTTGATGCCCTTGAAACAAAGAAGTGCGTTGTGTTTCGTTTCGATTGGAGTGGAAATCATACTTTATTAATACTCTTACATAATTATATTGTATATATGTGTTGCTGTAAATAGTGCATGACTAAATATTGAATTAATATACTGTAATTAAAAGTTGCAGGACCCCACTGAAAAACACTTCGGTGATGTGGGTATCCTGGATAAATATGAAGATAATAATAGCATAGGCGCACATTCAAATGATTCCGCAGATGAGGCACATAGGAATAACAGTGAATTAAAATGCTCTACATCATTAATAATTAAATTCAACTTATTAATAAACTCTACAGTCTACATTCGTATGCCAATATTTTCTTTGTTAATACATCGCATTTATTTCTATTACAAAGTTTTTGATCCAATTACTATATATATATATCCAGGTTTTTCACATAAAACCCTTTCGTACGTACTAAAAGCTTTGGGAAATAATAAGCGTTGTGTTTCGTCGATAAAAATATATTAATCGGTCATGATAATCACAACTTAGTCACTAATTATGTGGGGCTTTAGGCCTCTCGATGTACCGGGTGTCCCCCCCCCCCAAAAAAAAATGGAAACTGTTTGATTTCTGGTAACGAAATAAAGATCATTGCCTTCCGAAAGGACTAACGTAGATTTTGATATGTAACACTTGAATTTACATGCAATATTGAACGAGATCCAAATGTTTGAATTCGAATGCGTTTTAGGAATTGATGAAAATGCGGTGAAAATTGGCTATAATTTATTAAACTAATTTGAAAGATGGCCTCTTCAAAACAAATATTGTTATGGTATATGTTGAGGCAATATTAGGGAAATTTATCTTTGGATGTGGAAGCACTGACTAAACAAAATGTACTAAAACTGTCTGTACCAGTGTTGGTAGCCTGCGTGGCAGGCCCTTGAATTTATGGGGGGCCTGATTTGCAGCGGGCATGTTGGTAGTACCAATGTGAAAATGCTGTGCTGAGTGGTTATATTACTACCTTAAAAAATAAGAAGAAACTCGACGTTTCGAGCGAAAGCCCTTCGTCAAGAGTTAGTAGCAGGGATCGGGGAAAATGCACGGGCTTTTATACTAAGAGTATGAAAGCATCACGTGACAAAAAATAAACCAATTAGATGGATTTAATAATAACAAAGTGTAAACAAAATATATAAATCGCATTACAGAATATAATATAATTAAAAATATAAAAATAAACAGGAAGTTAAGACAATTACTACAAAAAAATAATAATCAAAACAAAACACGAGTGGGAATAAGGTAAAAGTAAAAGTAATAAATAGAAGTTGTCAATGTCTGCTATAGACAGGCAAAGACAGATGGCATCATAGACAAAACAGAAGATATATCTTCCGGATTGTCTATGACGGCATTAAATATAAGAAAAGCGTTCATTAATGCCAGAAGGGTGAACAATGCCAAGTTTGGATATGAGGCGCATTTCATGTCATTTGCGACTATCGTTGCTTCCAGAAATGGGACAGAGGGCTCGAATTAACATATCTGAAACACTGTGATTGCCATCATTAAAATGTCTGGCAACAGGTTGGTTAGCATCATTGCCAATAACTGTTATTGGCAATGATGCTATTGCATAGTTATTGGCAATGATGCTAACCAACCTGTTGCCAGACATTTTAATGATGGCAATCACAGTGTATCAGATATGTTAATTCGAGCCCTCCGTCCCATTTCTGGAAGCAACGATAGCCGCAAACGACATGAAATGCGCCTCATATCCAAACTTGGCACTGTTCACACTTCTGGCATTAATGAACGCTTTTCTTATGTTTAATGCCATCATAGACAATCCAGAAGACATGTCTTCTGTTTTGTCTATGATGCCATCTGTCTTTGCCTGTCTATAGCAGACATTGACAACTTCTATTTATTACTTTTACTTTTACCTTATTCCCACTCGTGTTTTGTTTTGATTATTTTTTGTAGTAATTGTCTTAACTTCCTGTTTATTTTTATATTTTTAATTATATTTTATTCTGTAATGCGATTTACATATATTGTTTACACTTTGTTATTATTAAATCCATCTAATTGGTTTATTTTTTGTCACGTGATGCTTTCATACTCTTAGTATAAAAGCCCGTGCATTTTTCCCGATTCCTGCTACTAACACTTGACGAAGGGCCTTCGCTCGAAACGTCGAGTTTCTGCTTATTTTTTAAGGTAGTAATATAACCACTCAGCACAGCATTTTCACATTGATACTACCTACACTGGTACACACAGTTTTAGAATATTAATGTTTTTGTAAATTGTTAGGTTTTCAAGTTCCATTAGATGATGTCTATCGAATGATTGGATATTCAAATTTAAGATAGTAGGACTAGAGGAATAACTAGCCTGATATCTGACATTGCTTTCAACAGTGGAATGAAAAGGTGACTGTGTATTAATTTTGGTACAGTTGGATGGGTTTCGAGTCCGAGTCGAAAACTTGTGGTTATGTGTTCTGTTTACAGATAAACGAACGGGAACCGTCGAGCCATACTGGTTCCAGTAAACGCTGGATTTGAGAGACTAATAGTAGGCCAGGTTGAGGATGAGTGTCTCCACTAAGAGCAATAAGCAAGATTGCAACACTAAAAGTAGATTCAGAATTCGAATAATAATAATAAGAATACGGTTTTTTAGAAACTTGGATCTCCGTAATGGGTTAATTATTCTTGAAGCTACACTTGGACAATTATAATAACTAGAAAATACATGCATGCAGAAACCCTCGCCTTGCTGACAACACCATTGTATTTTCCGAACATGACGTATCTAAAGTAGTTGTCATGGTAACACGATAATTTAATAAGAATATTCTTACGAATGAAAAATCTCCTAAAATATCACTTTTAATTACAAAATTATCAATTTACCAAAATATATATGTTACATATGTTATTATACGTAATATAACCTTCAATTTAAGGTAAAATTCAACCACAAACGCTTCGCAAAACGTTTTTAAAGTGTTCTTTATAAAACTAAACTGCCTTTAATTAAATAGCTTTATCGATAAACTTTCAGTTTGCAATAAAATTATTTCAAATTCTCGCATGCAAATAACTTTGCTTTCTTTTTTTATTTAAAAAATTCACTATAATAATAAAGGGAATTAATATTAAAGATACACTGAAATTATATGCTGTCTTGTTTAGTTGTTTCATATACGCAAAGGCCGTCGGGTTTTAAAGGCATTATAAAATCAATATTTAAAACAAACTTACTTCCGTTAGCGTCGGCTCTCTTCTTTTAGCCGATTCTTTCGCAGTTTCTTTCTGAGAGAGCTTTTGAAATTTACAAAATCTTGCAAAAATGCGAGCAAAAATGAAATATATTTGCAAGAAATTTATCAATCATCAAATCAAGAAATGTATTTATCAATCATCAAATCAAGAAATGTTTGCTATTTCGCTGTCGTCATGCAGTCGTTATAATGCAAACTTTAAATTGGACCAACCAGCGTCCGCTATTCATGACAGTCCGCCATATTTTTGAGATCAGTGAGGATGACCACACACCCAACACTTGAACACCGTTGGTGACCCACGCCCGCGATGATTGATGAACTTTAGACTTCGATAATGCTTTCGTTTCCCCGAGTGTAAATAGCCGGGGGAATTAGCACCCTCGCACGGCGCTTCGCGCCGTCGGCTCGGGGATAATAAAGGGGTTGATGGTGCGAAACTTCAGTGACAAGACTGACAACATGTGTGCAAATTCCGTCTCTGTCACGATGTAATGGCTCCGACAAGGATTCCAGTGAATTCATAAATCAAGCTGACACAGCAAACATTAATGTTCCTTCGTACAAAAAACGCTTCCCTGTCCCGTTGGCATCTCGTAAAATAGTTAAGTTAGCCGTTGCGAATACTCTAGGAATAACAAAAACCATTCAGGACGCTCGGCTGAGCAGCAATGCATGCTGCACGTCCCGTGCGTTTGGCGTATATATTGAAACCATAAACTTTGTCATCGACTAGAATAAAAAGAATATTTCGGTCTTAATAACAGCTACGTTGGTTACTCCAATCGTAATACGTATCTTAGAACCAAAGTCCCATGTACTCTAGCCGTGCAGTTGATCAACAGTAATGGTGCGACTAAAACAGAGGCCGAAAAACCATGACCATTAGCCGCCACATTTAACGATTGTGAGGGTATTGATTTAAAGTACGAAGTACTTGTATTTGGCCAACAGTGTTCACTGCTCGCGTTGCGTGTTTATTTATTTAATGAATTTATTGAGCAATCTACATACGTACTATTACTACTATATCAGGTACATAGATAAATACTTGATAAACGAAAGACAAAACACATGTCACAAATTAGTAGATACACTCAAACGGGACACTAAAAGTCGCATGCGACTCCCCGTAATTAGTTTATATATAGTTAATTAAACACACACAACACACACACACACACACACTTTCTATATAGGCATTCCTAAACGCACGAAACAGACTGTTGTGGTTTTTTGAGGTAAAACGAAAAACTATATTACGCTCTATCTATATGGTATTGAGCACTGTTTGTGTTATATATCTTGACGTATGGCTCAGTCTAGTGCGACCATGACTCACAAACGACACATAGTTATCGATATTGACGTCAATGTAACAAAACAATTATTTGAAGAAGTCTCTGACTTCTCGATCATAGCCCACCCTTGCGAAAATCAACATTATTTTAACCCTATTTTATCCCTATTTTACTTTCTATTTTATTCCTATAGAAAAGCTATTTTATTTTTAACCCTATCATATTGCTATCACATATACAAATCCTATATTAAACCTATTAGTACTCTGTTTTAATTATATTTTATAGCTATTATAAATAGGTTTTTTTGAAACAAAAAATAGCCTATTTTAAATAGATTTTATTTTTCTGAATCGGTGAAGCACAGATTAAAATAGGTTTAAAATAGGATAAAATATATTTAAAATAGAGTGCAAAATAGAAATAAAATAATAAAGTAAAGTGAAACATTGGTATAAAATAGATTTTAAATATACATAAAATAGGTTAAAAATAGTCGAAAATACATATAAAATAGTGGATCAACTCCAGTATATTAACTAAAAATAGTAATAAAATTACTGCAAAAATAGTAATAAAATAGTTTAAAAATATGAATAAAATACTGATAAAATAGTAATAAAATAGTAGAATTTAAAATAGTGATAAAATAGCGAAGAAAATAGTAAAAAAATAGCTCAAAATTCTTATAAAATAGTATAAAAATAGTAATAAAATTGTAATAAAATAGTCAGAAAGTAGTAATAAAATAGTTATAAAATAGCAATAAAAAAATAGTAAAATAGTCATAAAATAGCAATAAAATAGTCAGAATGTAGCAATAAAATAGTTATAAAATAACAATAAAATAGCTATATAAAAATAGTAGCACTGCAACATAGTTACTTTATAAAGTAATAAAATTGTAGTATATGATAATTAAAACCAGTTAAAAAATAGTAATGAAATAATATCAAATTAGCTGAAAACTAGCAATGCAGTACCATGATTGACAGGTATATTATCGTTTAAAATGGTATAAAATAATACACATAAAACAGTTTGTATTCTTATTAGCTGTCAATGCTAGGTTGTGGCAGTTTAAGGGCGGCAGGGGTGAATGTGGCAGTTTAAGCAGTGTCAAATCAATGGCATTGTTTACCACAGTCAGAGTTACCAACGTTTGAGT